GGCGCGTATGGCGGTTGCAACTCTGCAGCCGAACCGCCAGCCAATGAGCCTCCAGAATAACCCATATCGCGTACCTGACGTCGGCAGCTAATCCAATCTTCCGTCCCTCGTTGAGGACCACGCGTACCGAATCGAGCGTGGCATACCCGGATTGCGGGCCAGCGGCGAGCTGAGAATGTAGCCCTTTGTAATCGGTGACCATCACCCACCACCCTTGGTTCAGCGCGACGGCTAGCTAGCAATTGTCGGGCGGGCATAGTTGGCGCAAGCAACCACGACCAGATCAAGACAAGAAACAAGGACAAAATTATCTTACAAATACTACGTCTATGGAGACTGTACTATTGGGCATCAAGACCCCCAAGAGTCCACCAGTAGCGGATCCAGGTCGAAGGGTATATATGATGGACTGCAATCTTCGTTTGCGGCAATATGCCGCCTGGAAGACGAGGAGTTGCGATGGATCCGAATTGCGCAGGACAATTAAAGTAGATACTGATATACGGAGTACCGAGTCCACGGAGATTTTTCCACCTAGAGGGAGAAGTGGTTTCAGCTTGTTCTCAACCTGGCGGGATCGAATTAATTAATTCTCCACGCTTATATTCCCTGATGTTTTCTGGCTCCGCGTACCAACTATCCTGACGCGGGGAGGATTTTAGCAGCACATCCTGAAACCACCAGCGCTGCATGCAAATAGGCAAAAATTGGACAGCATCATAGTGCCATGGCTGAAAGCTCTCCAGGAGGGCGGGATTCTCAAAATTAGTTCGTATGGATTTTATTTGTTCGCTGTTTATATCTTTTCTTTTTATCTTCAAGGTGGTGCCCATCTTTCCCTTCTATGTTCGTATTGAACGACCTCATTTGTCACTCCATTGTAAGTTTCAATTCCCCGTCTCCTATTTAACTCTTGTTCCATCGATATGTGTAAACAAACGTCGATTCTTCCATTCCCAAAAATAGGTCCCGCAACGAATTTTTGGGCTTCCAGGAAGCGGTCAACATGAAGCGCCCACCAATTTCCAAGCAAGATCAAAGGAACGCCGATGCCCAACATAGTGCATTTCACAGCAGATCATCAAATCCACAGTTTTTGGTTTGTCCGCGCGATCTGGCCAACTCTTCTCAGTATGGCAGCTATCAGCAAAAAGAAAAAGAATGTAAAAAGGAAAAACATACAACAGTCGGGATTCGCTGGTGGTCACCCACCCAACTACTAACCGGCCGGCGAGTGGCTTAAGTATGGCTGAGCGGACGGGAAGCCCTGCTTTCCACTCCCTATGGTCGTATGTGCCTGTTCACTAATGGATACCCAATTTATAGGCTTAGCGACCGTCTCGAGCCGGACGAAATGGTGTCACTCAGCCATATGACAGACAACAGGCCTGCTTTCTCACTCCAGCCAGCCAGCCACCTTGCAACGACACCAAATGCAAACATAACGCTGTCAGCTCTTGGTAGATTCCCAGGGTCTCTTTTCTGACATTGCCTGGGTATTTGGGCAACCTAATTGCATGGAAGTTTGGTCCCCGGGACGGACGAGGTCATACGAGCGAATAACAAAGGCCCAGATTCCAGATGGTACTGTACATTATATTACTATGGAATTCAGAATTCCTGGGATAAAGGAGGCCGGTTCGTCGATACGGATGCCGCCAAATTATGCGAGCGATGCTAATTCGTTAAGTTACGAATCCGAGTTCCAAACTTTGGCCCAAGATACAGTTGGCAGGGAGACTTTCATGCAGCATATCGCACCCCAACCTCGCCACTGATACTGTCACTGATACTGTCACTGTACTAGTTATGTGTTATGCCTAGTGTTTTCTTTACCCTACTCGAAAGTAATTTGAGCCAGCTATGGGGAAATAATTTCTTCCCGGAACAGCCTGCGACAGGCGATCGAGCACATTGCGTACGGTGGCCAATTTCACTTTATTTGAAGTTCGATTCTTTTGCGTGAGCGGTGATGGCAGTCTGAAATAGGACATACCCACGAATATGATGCGCTCGCCGTGGAAGTCAATGGTGGCTTTCGCCGGTGACAATATATGGTTCGCTCTAATCATATTGCATCCAAGGTATCGCACTAGGTGGAATTCGCCCTTCAGAAAAACAAGAGAACTGTTGTTCACCTTCAAGGTGAGAGCTGTTGCTAAGAATAAGTTCGATTCATTTGTATCTGAACTGACTCCTCAAATGCCCATGCACCAATTATGTGGCATAGAGGCAGGCTGACAGTGAGGGAAGAATAAGTTTGCTATTACTGCATCAATAAGTGATATACCCGCGCCTGTATCAATGCAAACTGAGAGATTGCCATGACATGTAACTATGGAAATGGTAAGGAAGGCGTAGCGCTAATTCTACAGTCTACTAATGTATTCTTGATCACTTGTAGGGATATTGCATGCCGCAATAGCATATATGTCGGTGTTAAATATGCTTGGATAATCATCGGAGGGAGTGTCTGTGGATGAGGCAGGCCCCTCAGTGCCTGCCTTGCTGTTTATTTTTCTGACTCGCTGTCAGAATCTAGACTGTGGTCTAGATCCAGCAGGTCGTCGTCTTCCTCTCTGGCACCCTCCAATTTGACTTGATTCGCCGGGCGATCATTGGTCTCTCCCTTCCTGGGGCAGCAGTTGGTGTAGTAAGGGCCTCTGCACATGTAGCACCCTGCTGCGCTTGCTGGTGGTTTTCCTCCCTCTTTACGCCTAATCGGCAGCTTGCGCGTCGTGGGGTCGCCCACTGGAGGAATTGCCGCGGGATCCGCGGCAGGCACGGACGGTTTGATGGCTTCCATCTGTTGCTTGGCCAAAGACCGACGGGGGGTGGGAGCTATTTCCCCACGAGTTTGAAGGATAACGACATCCCAATTAGCAGAACCTTTGGGATCGACCGTCCGAGGAGTAATTAAGCCGTCGTTTGTCATTCGCCAGCGCAGCTTTCGTTGGGCAGGCAGCTGTCCCAACTCCTTGATCAGTCGCCGGCTGGGCAGCACGAAGAATTCGCGGTCTACAAAGGGCATTTCCTCGCTGCGTCCCGCGAGTCTTTTGACGATCGAGACAGCGTCCGGAAGCCCTTCCACAGTCGGATCCCGCATAATGGATACGCTTGGGCGGGCTGGCTTGCCATCCTTGCGAAAACGTAAGTCGGTTTTGTCATCGTGATGGAGATGGTCGTCTAGCGAACGCGAGAAGATAATGATGTCGTCGACATAGACCAACGCGAATCGCCATAAGAATTTTGCTGGATTTCTTCCATACGTTGCTGAAAGAACCTGGGTGAGGTCGCCAACCCCATTGTAGCGACGGTAAAGCGTTCGAGACCTCGGTGCGGCGTGATGAAGGTGGTTTTGAGCGGTTGCAATCCTCTACGGGCGTTTGAAAAAAGCCCTGGCGGATATCCGTTGACGAGAACACTGGAACCTCCTATCAAGGGCTTGGCATACTACCATGTCAGAAGGCATTTAACTTCACCAGGCAGAGCATGGTTCACTAGTAGTAATTTGCCCAAGCCATCAGGACAAACTACCCGAAGAGAAACGATACTGAAGCAATTCAGAGTTCCCGGATCAATTATGATCGAATTTTTAATTATTGCGATCGTTTTATATTTTCACAGCCTAGATAAACTCGAAGCCTTAAAATACTCAATACACACTCCAAAGGAATATATACAAAAGTGAATCCAACTAATATGTCAAGCAGATGCAAAACAAACTACCAAATTTATTCACCGGTTCATCGCTTATGTCGGCGTTGGTTGAGAGATGACAGGTCTACTCTTTCTTGGAAGATTCTTCGGTAAACTCGTCCTAGGCACTTTCACATCGTCTCCCGAACCACCTTTTCGTAATGAAAATAGAACCCATCACTGCATGTGTCCCACCATTTTTCCTTTGCCACTCACTAACCGGTGCGGGGACCTTTCTGGCATTCGGTTGGACTTGGAGTTCGCTTGGCTTCTTGGGGTACGCTGTACCTCCACGGGTGGCAGTCACACTTGTGAACTTCTTGGATGCGGTTGATATCATTCCTTTTGGCGGTGCGGAATACTTTCTTCATGATGGCGGTAGTGATATAGGTACGTCTCCTAAAGAGCATTATTAGCAAACGGAGCACGAGATCGAAGGATTTTGGCATATACATGTACTTGACAGGAGCGTGTGTATCTGTCAGAGCGAGTCAAGGAGTCGGATGAGTCTTTTCAATCACAATAGGTATAATTCTCTCAGGCCAATGCGCCCAATTACTTGTCTTCTTGATTAGAAATGAATGGGACTTTGGGGTCTGAGACTTCATTGGAACACTCTATGCCGGTCCTTATGTAGACTGAATTCATGAGATCCAGTCCTACTATGTGCCTTAAGCAATGCCATGAAAGGGCAGCAGAGAGGCTCTCAGTCTATCCATTCCAAACTGCCAGGTTTCTAATAAATACTAATCACTGTGAACTTGTATGATCCCATTTATATATCCTTTCATTGAATACAAGTGGCAGCTGAGATTGATTGGATCCCAGGGCTGGCCACATAAATTTGTGTTTTCATTATTGCATAGCTGCCCTGCTTCTGTTTGACTTAGCATCTGTTATGAATAACTACCTCACTTCTTTTTATTTTTGTTGGGTTAGCGTTTGCAGTTATTAGAAAAAAGGGGCCTGGGACGCAAGACCTCCCAAGTCTAAAATGGCTTGCGGCGCGTCGCGCGGCTAAATATCCCTCCTAACTCTAACTTCATGCTCACTCCATCATTGGCGATTATTGCTATTAAATACTAGAATGTGCGCAAGTAAAGTTTCTTGCGCGTCTTGAAATTTAATACCGCCAGTTGACTGCTTTTCAAACTCGCCTGAAATGTGCGGCGTTAATCAGCTTCGCAACACGCTCAAACCAGTTTGGTTTCTCATTCCCGTTATCCCAACTCCGTTTCCAACACCCATTTTTTGTCAACCAATTTGCAAAGGAAGTTTGGCAAGAATATGCTAGATGTTCACGACTTGAAACACCCTTTTTACAGTCCAACATTCGGAAGATGGCTGTGGGTACCGCTTGTCAACAGTGTAGTGTAGCTTCCTAGCTGACTCTTTCACTCAAGCTAGGTACAACAAGAAGAAGCAACTTGTGGAACATCATTTGTATTTCAATGTTGATAGACTCCCTTCAATTGTTGCAGAAACTGTCACTCAAACACCCAACAATATCCTCCATTTTACAAAGCTGGCTGAAGGGGGCTCATACCATGTTTTCAACATCTTATTCAAAAATCAGTGCAATGCCATCATCTAGTTGTCATATCCATGTACAGTTCTCTGCAGTTATGAGGTGACAAGTGAAGTAGCTAGAGTTGAATATTTGCAACTCAAGGATCTGTCTATTCTCCAAGTCTTGTCCTGGAGTTTGACAACTTCCAATTCTCTGGGTTGTGAATACATCATCATTGAAAAAGTGCAAGACAAAGCTTTGGACGAAATATTGTGGCGGACATATTACTTGCGAAAACAGAATTTTCCCAGCCCCCTCTGAAAATTAGTAGCAAAACACCACCAAAAAATCAAAATATCTGCATTTCTCTAGAATCATTCAATATCATTCAATATGCGTCTTTTTCAATCAAATATCATTCAAATACATGTCTTTCTTATCTTTATCATCAAATCCACATATATCAATCAACTCTTTTTTCAATATGCCTTATAACACCTGCTGTCCTGCTGCTTCACAAGCCTGTACAAAGACTTCTACTCTGCACCTCAGTCTTCTCAAACTACCTGTTCCAGAAGTTCTGAATAATGGAGAGAATTCAGTCAATGATGAGATGAAGAAGCAGATGAATGAGAAGAATATAGAGACTCAGTCTGAGAATTCTTGATATCTGTGAATCTCTACATCTGAGTCTGACATCTCATACAGATTATATGAATGAGTGATTATCAATAAGATAAAGAACAAGAGAGATGACAAAATGATTAATAAGTAGAAAGAAGAAGAAGAATTAGAAGAATGAATCTATAATTTCTATAATTAATTCTTCTATACAGATCTCTTAAATGTCAGTGATTATATTCTCTTCTTCAGCTCTGACAGCTTCAACTTCATTCAATATAACATTCTCAAGTGAGATAATCAATGTGATGATGATGAAATATATGATGAAAGAAATAGAAGAACTGAATTCACAATCTCATTATCATTCACATTCAGATCTGCTGTTGAATCTTTCATTAAATACACTGTTGAAATCTTTCATTAAATTCACTGTTAAATCTTTCATTGAATACACTGTTGAAATCTTTCATTGAATCCGCTGTTGAATCTTTTATTGAATACACTGTTGAAATCTTTCATCAAATTCACTGTTGAAATCTTTCATCAAATTCACTGTTGAATCTTTCATTGAATACACTGTTGAATCTTCCATCAAATCCACTGTTGAATCTTTCATTGAATACACTGTTGAAATCTTTCATTGAATTCATCATTGAATCTTTCATTGAATACACTGTTGAATCTTTCATTGAATCCGCCATTGAAATCTTCCATTGAATACACTGTTGAAATCTTCCATTGAATCCGCTGTTGAAATCTTCCATCAAATCCGCCGTTGAATCTTCCATCGAATACACTGTTGAAATCTTCCATCGAATCCACTGTTGAATCTTCCATCGAATACACCGTTGAATCTTCCATCAAATACACTGTTGAATCTTCCATCGAATCCGCCGTTGAATCTTCCATCGAATCCGCCATTGAATCTTCCATCGAATACACTGTTGAAATCTTCCATCAAATCCACTGTTGAATCTTCCATTGAATCCACTGTTTCATCTCCAATTCAAAGCAGTTCAATACCTCAATTTGATGAATACTTCAATTGATTGACAAGGGAACAGTTGCTTCATATGAATATTGACAAGAGTATATTTCAAATTATAAGAGATGGATTAAAAAGTTCATTATAACAGACAAAATTACAGAAATTCAAATCATCTTTATTCACTATTTATAGTGATGAGAACAGATCTCATACTACTTTCACTTCTAAATTTATATTATAATGAATTGTAATCTGAATCTTTCTAATTATTATAATACTATTCTATATAAGTAGATCTGAAATATTCTTTTATATCTTTTTCTCTTATGAAGTTCTCAACTGTATGATATAAAAAAGCTTCAAAATCTTCATCAAATCTCTTCAGAATTGAAGAGATATCTGATATAATCTTTGACTTTATATCACATATTGAACAGAGTTCTCTAGCAGTTTCAAAACAGTGAAGATTTCATTGAATTCAATATACACAGGTGATAATCAATGCTTCGTGTGATCTCAGCAGACATATAATCATTCTTAAGATGTACAATCTTGTTGATAATGAAATCACAGAGTTGAGGTGACATATTGATGATAAAGGTAAGAAAGACGCGTATTTGAATGATATTTGATTGAAAAAGACATGTATTGGATGATATTGAATGATTCTAGAGAAATGCAGATATTTTGATTTTTTGGTGGTGTTTTGCTACTAATTTTCAGAGGGGGCTGGGAAAATTCTGTTTTCGCAAGTAATATGTCCGCCACAATATGATACACAATGAGTTGTATGACAAGGAAATTGTTGGTGGAAAAGATTGTGAATATCAAGACTATTCTCTTCAGTCTACAGTTCCCTGCCAGCAGCAGTATATTTTAAAGAATTCCTTCTGCAGAACATTCAAACTGTGGATATCTCCGATAATAATCATTTTTGTATAGAGCCATCCACTGGGATCTGGTGGTGATACCACAGACAAGACATCAAAGTTGATAGAGATCCATGAGTGTATGATAAGCCCTTACAATGTTGCAATATTTTCACTAATTCTGAGTAATGCAGGGACTTCAACACTAGATATGTTAAAAGCTATCAGTCAAAGAGAACTTGAATGACTTCAGAAATTTGACAAACTGAGGTTTCCACATGAGCTGCAAAATGATTGACCCTCAGGGCAAATTGCTCCAGATATCATTCCAGCATGCAAAGATTGGAACAGGTCAACTAATTATACACCACTCTGATCTCTCCCCTAGCAACATCTTCATTGACAAAGCGGGTGACAATATTACCAGTGTAATTGATGGGAGTGTATGATTATCTGCTCAATGTTCATGCATGTCAGAGTTCCTCCTCATTTCCAAAATTTTGATGATGAAGTGTCAAGGTTTCCTGCTCTACCCAAAAACTTTGAATCAATGTCAGAAAATGAGAAGGAGCAAGAAATGGAATGATACCAGTGCAGACAGCTTCGCCGCAAGCCATCTGTTCCCCATCTTCTACCCGTCTTCTTCGTTGTTATATTGCGACTTGATGAGCCAGAAGAGTGGCCTCCCTCTTTCGGCAATCCACTGGAAGCACACAGCATCAGAAGTTTCTGGAGCAAATTCTGGCACAGCGGTGTCTGTCGACCATATACTGCTCAGGCTCCGCTCATGTCGCGCTCCCTCTTCAATGTCCGGCTAAAAGTCTACTCCCGATCAGTTATTAATCATGTTTATTTTCTTCTTTTATTCCAGACTTTTACATGCTCCGCTGGCAGAGAGGCATGCGGTGCAGGATATGACAGGATATTGTATAATTCTCTGGTAAGGCTGCTGCCATTACCATCGAGCCTATCATTCGGAAGCGGGCTATGCGAATTCATTTCCGGTTTTAGGATCGGTTTTGGTTCGGTTCCCAAGTGGCAGTATCCGAAAGTATCTTGTGTAGTTATCGTGTAACTAGGCCTGAGTCTTTCTCAAACAGTCTGCAGTTCCATCAGTGCACATCTTAGTGCCAAACAGATCATCTATTATATCATTGCACCTTCCAGCCTTAAGGGGGTTGACGGGCTCATTATTGCATTCTACACGGGAACGCTCCGAGTAAGCCAGATGCGGTGCCCCAACTGACAGCTTCAGCAACGCTGTGCAGTGATAATTTCGGGCTGTAAAGCACAGTGAAAACATCTCAAATAATCAGAAATAACCATTTAGCGGCTTTGTTATTTAAAATCAAACAGGCCCCTGCTCAGTGCATCAGGCATTCAGCCACTATTCATCACTATCCCCAACGCCCCAACTGCTGGTTTCCTCACGCTCTCTTTGGATGCCCACGACCGCGTATAGTACAATGACAAAAGTTCATAAACATCATTTGAATGACCATGTCAGTCACCAGAGCGAGTCCTCTGCATCTTTCTGTAGCGTTACCCCTGGAGTAGAGCTTTGAACTATGTACTCTGGCATTCTGGATGTGATATGTATTTGCAAAATATTCAGATTCTATTGTTTATATTTCCTATGCAATATTTCCGGTTCGTGCAGCATACAGAGTCTGAGGAGTAAATGTGCCTACGTTCCCCTTAGTCTTCCTCATGAATGAGCTGCAAGCTAATGTATGGACATACTTTCTTGAAACCCTGCACAATCTTTTGTTCATCCCAATTCTCACTACCTACGCCCAAGGGTGTGATGAAAAGATCAAACAGATCATAACGCTTTTTGATAGCGTACAGACGGGCGTAATTCTTTCCCGAGAATTCGGCTCCTGCAAGTTGGTCTTGTTGAGATACACCCCCATCCTCCCAGGCTCCAGGAATTTAATAATTGGCTCCTGTCGATAAGTCATGTCATCCTGCCACGCTTTCTGCTCCCTGAATGAAGCTTTTATGCCCATACCAGCCCTCCAACACCGCGCAGGGCCCAGAAGAGGTCCTGGTTCTTATACTCGTTGGCAATGACAACACCTCCCTTCAAATCTTATTTAGTCTCAATATATGTCACAGAGTGATTTTTGTTGGCTGGATGTGAGGAACTTACGCAAGTAGTAATGACCCTGAATTGTAGCGCGTTATCGGACGCCATCCGTTTCCATGGGCCGAGGATGCTATGACCCCCTCCTTGAACATATCCGCCGGCGGCGCCGACTCCATGAGAGTATCCCCCCACAACCATATGACCTTTTGCACCAAGACCTTTGTATAGCTCCGCAAGCTGAAGCCCTGCTTCAATTGTCACTGTGGGGCCTTGACCATCCTGGTCTTTTGGACTTCCATGTGGCACGAAATTTTCTACACACCCTACATCTTTGAGCAGATGAGTAAATATTTGCAGAGACTCAGGTGCGGTTGATCATCCTAAAAAGTCATGGCCAGTATTTCTAATGACTTAGGTGAATATTCCGTTCTTGAGCAAACCGTACAGCCTGTTGAATCTGGTCCTCTGAATCGGCAATGAGAGAGTATAAAGAAACCCTTCCCTGGTGGCATGGGATTTCTTGGTTTTCCCTGATCTCACAACTCTCATTTGCTTTCGGCTTTGACTCCCAGTTATGCCATTGAACAGCCCCTGAAATAAATTGTAAGCCCCCACACCCTAGGACAGTTTAAATATTGACATATGATGGATGAGCAGGCAAATACCGGGTTGAGAGGCCCTCCAAGTTGAATTCATCATGGACGCCTTAACTTTCTTGCAAATAGACGAGTTGAAATTAGGATCATGGCAAGGAGAACCAACAAGAGATGAGACGGCATCTAGCCTACCGGAGGCAGAGGCATTGAATGCGTCCCACTCTTTGACCGACGGCAAGTAGGCTTGGTTAGGACGACATCGGCAACGATGGGATGTGGAAGATAGGGCAAAAGCCGCGGACAGAAGCAGAGCAGCGCAGAAAATGAAAAGCAATCCTAACATTATGAATAATGGGGAAATTATGAGAAAACGGTATAGAGTAGTTCAAAGGCAAGAAGAGCTGCTGGAATGAATTGCCTCGAAACCGGAACAATACATTGGAGAGCCATCCTTATATAGAGGAGCTCTGGCTCCAGGACAACCTGCATCTCCACGCCGTTCATGGACTGGGAATCCTTCGAAAAGTGGTGGCCTGGACGTTCAGCCTCGTCAAGGGTAGTTATCCATTCAATGGGATTTCGTCATTAAAAAAAAAAAAGATACGGCGACAATTCCTCGCCTGGAAGGGAGAAGTTTGCAGGTAGTAGTAGTGGTGGTTGTTAACGGAGATATAAATTCTCTGACAGGGTAGTTGATAATTGATACCAGGCTATTGTATCACCGAAGGGGCCGATGCAAATAGGGCTGCTGTAGCGGCTCCCTCGGCCTCAGTTTAGTTAAAGCCTTAACCATAAGACCCCCTTTCCGTCCCGTTTCGGCCCTAGAAAGTATAAGTTGCTTACTCCTCCGAATAGCGGGATCCATTTGGCTGGCTTTCAATGTTTGGCGGGGCAGCAACCTTAGTTCAATGATCAACCAACGAACTCGTCCCAGCTAAATAAAGGTAAATTAATTCCATATCAGTTCCTACATTTTTCTCAGCACATTAAAACAAATTATTCTCCTTCAAGCCTTCATCTCGTGGGGCTTTTTTCTCACGACTTCTAGGATATCCATTCAATAGTGCTTCCCACTCCCATTGCGTTATATATACATCACTGTCTGTGTCTGATCCACCATGGCCGACGCTGAACTTGAAGAGGTACATATATGCGCCGCCATATTCCAAAGCCTGAGTCTCTCTAAGGCTACTCATACCTAGTATCCAATATTGGAAGAACCCTATCTAACACTATATGATATGAAAAGATCCGAAAAGCACGCCTTGCGCAACTACAGGCGCAAGCAGGACAAGGTGGAGGACCAGGCCAAGGTTCAAATCAGGAACAGAGACAGTGAGTCTTGCCTATATCTGAATTCTCTTCGCTATTTCTATGTCTCGCTATCATTTGCTAACCGGTGTGCGCACATGCAAAACAATAGACAACAAGAAGGTGCACACTATCCCAAAATCTTGTATCTGCCCAACCTCCGCTACACGACTACATCACAAGGACACACACAATCAACACAAGAGAGTCACGCTAGAATTAAACAAACACATCTAACCCGTCGTAAACCGTTTTTACAGCCGAAGCCCGCCAAGCCATCCTATCCCAAATCCTCCTCCCAGAAGCCGCTGACCGTCTCGGTCGGATTAGATTGGTTAAAGAAGAGCGAGCGACAGATATAGAAAATAGACTGATCATGCTGGCGCGGACGGGCCAGTTGCGTGCTAAAGTGACGGAAGAGCAGCTGAAAGAGTTGTTGAATGCAGTTGCGGAGAATAAAGAAGAGGAGAAGATTGTGATTAGTAGGAGGAAGGGTGGGTGGGACGATGATGATGATTTACTGGATTTTTGAGGGGCGCTGGGCAAGGTGAAGGGTTGGAAAGAAGCATAAAGAGGAAAGAGACAATGCGAATTGACGAATTGATGATATGACCTTTTCTTATACGGAGGGGTTTGAGGGGAGGTAGCTGGGATATACTTTTGCGTGGACAGGAACTATATTTGATATCCCCTCCTCTGTTTATGATATAAACTGAGTTACTATGAAAAGCTAAACAAACGGCTTGTGAATGAAACTGAAATAACCTCCAGAAACTGGAGAATATATATTTGAAATGGAGTAGATGGTATGGCAATTATACATGATGGCCGAAATATCCCAACGAAAAAGAAAATAGTCTAATTTCAACGCCCAAAACTCCCCCGCAATGCATCCTGCTGTACACAGTTAGTATATATATTACAAGAGATCAACCAAAGTGATCACTGGCCATCCTTTGCTTTCGCGGCCTCCTCAGCCGCCTTCTGCCTCCGCATCATCTTCCGTATCTCTCTCAGATCTGCTGGCTTCTCAATCCCCAACTCCTCCCTCAACTCATTAGCATCCCTCTCCAACTGCTCCTCCCAATAAACATTGATGACCTCCTTACTCGCCAACCCACTCCTAATCGCCCAGGGTAAATGCAATTTCCAAAACCGCTCCCGCTCCGCAGGCTTCAATCTCATCACAGCAAACATACTCAGCCCCGTCATGGGCAGAAGCGTATTCGCAAACTCAAACGTTTTCAGCGCAACTTCGCCCTCAACCACGACCGGTAGGCCAGTGATGGCGTGATAGAAGTCGTGGCACTCGCGATATCGTTGCATGACGTATGCGCACTCTTCGTCGTCGATATATTGTACCGGTGCGCGCGTATCAGGGCCGACGCCTTCTCTATCTAACCAGCCCACGTACGTTCGCCCGACGGTGTTGGGGGGAAGGCTGCGGAGGTATTCGATGGAGAGGGTTTTGGAGCTTATGCGGGGGCGGTCGCGGAGGATGCGACGGCCTGTGGGGTCGGACAGCATGGCGTCACGGAGACGGTAGATGAAGTAAGGGGTCGCGGTAGCTTCGCCCAGAGCTGCGATTAGGTCTGTTATATTCCGATTAGAGAGGGATTGTCACTATGCTATTTTACTCATATGCACTTGTGATGGGTCGATTAAAGTTTATCTATGTGCAATACACACCTCCTCGTCTGGGGTTTAGCAGAGACCCGATTGCAGATCCGACAGCAAGAGCCCCGCGCTCAATAGTTGTTAGTGGGATATGGCCTGGGTAGTTGGGCGGTGGCCGGTTTAGGGCAGAGAATCCTCGTGAGAGCAGAACATATCCATATCCGTGTGGGCGAGCTATCCGCACAGTCAGAATGGTTTGTGTCACTGCAGGTGTCATTATGGATTTATAGGCACGAAAGCCGATATCATGGCATGCACGATCAAAGGCTCGGCAATTGGGTTTGTCAGTTCTCTCTAAGCTTTACTTTAGTGTAGCTTGTCGGGAGGTTGTGTTGAGTTGATCTTGAGCGAAATGGAATTGGTTCTTCCGCAATCACATGATGTTGCGATCCCGTGCCAAAGCATGTTTTGGTGCCAATCTCTCAACCCTCCTTGCTTCAAGGTCAAGCCTTTCACACTACATAGTATGGATGGATGAGTGACAACATCTACTACTCACTACCTCTAATAGGATACTGTCTAGCTGCATGATGCCTACCAAGGACCGAAGGTGTCTCCCATCGAATACCCGCTTTCAGGTCCAGATTTGGTCCACTGAGCTTGCTGAACAACCCAATGAACATTGATAGTGGTGGATATCTTCGGACTTGCTACAGTATCAATGGAACATGAGAATGACAACCATTGATTGAATTTATATGCGGGAATACGTTTCATCGCAGGGTTAACATAAGTACTAATCGTCCATTTAAACGAAATTTAGGAATTAAGAAATGAAGGATCTAGACCAACGAACTCGTCACTTCAGGAAATACTAGGAATTGACAACAAAAACAAACAACCTGATGACCATGCAAATGAGACAACAAGGAAATGCATCCCCGAGATCCAGTGCTCTGTTCCACCCATTCAGTTTTTCTGAACCCCAAAATACATAGAATGATACGAACGTCGTTCCTAGCCTGCCCCATATCAGGATTGGTATTGACAGTTTTTTCCGGAACTTCTTGGTGTATCTTTCAAGCTGCAGTTCGATGTTCGTCCTTGCACGAGGGTCCGACCTGGGACCTTTACTTTCATCCAACCCTGCAGCATGTCCAACAAGTATTGGGGGGAAAGGAATCGCCTCGGTATACAGCCTATCACAAATGTCAATAATACTAATACTACAATATCCCTAGCTCAAAAGGAGTTTCAGGTATACTTACCTCGCCTGGGGGGCATTTGAATGGAGGAGTTTTGCACCCTGGGTCGCAATCATGGCAACCTTTGGGGCCGCAATCCGCCGCGGCATCAGCGATCAGCATGCCGGTCGTTGCGGCTTGGGTAACGGTGAAGTAGGTGGCAGTAGTAGCCAGGAAAATGCTTAGGATTTGCATAGCTGAGGTGGAGCTGTGGCCACTTTGTTGAGGAAGGACGAGATATTTTCTGAGATACGGCGGATTGATCAAAAAATTCCTGTTGCTTTCGACAGGAGGACCACCCGAGTTTTATGTCTCCACCTCGCGCCTCCGAGGAAAGATAAAATAGTGTTGTCCGACTGTGTAATGAAAGCAATCGCTCCATATGCCATTCATGCTCGCTACTACAGTCGGTCAGAAAAGTCTAAACGCCCAGGAAGCAAACACTCATGTGTTCTCCCACACACTGGACCTGGGCAAAGTAGATTTCCGCCTCAAGCACATTGAGTGTTGGCGTCCAAGACTCTTCACATTTTTCGATGTAGGATCCTTTGCACTAGGGAAGGAATGTGGGACAACGATGCCGAGAAAGAGTAGTGGATTCATGAGGGCAGCGTGTGAGCGCTCAATTTTGAGAATGATGGGTACTGATATAGTCATCGGAATTTGATGCATGTGTCCGTCCGACCGTGCTGAAATGCTCAGCGGACATACAACCCGTCGAGGACGCTGCAGCATGCCGGGGTAAAAGATTGCCCCTGGCCGAGATTTTTTTTTTTTTTTTTTTTTTTTCTTTTATTATTTTGCAAAGTGCCTCTCCTGCGCTAGGACATCATGCATGCGCGATAGCAATTGGTTATCACAAACTATAACAAAACTGAAGCAGCCAGCAGTGGAGAATGCACTTTATATTCAGTCTCCTGTCAAACTTCCAAACACAGATTAGATTGCCTGAGAGCTCTGATCAACATTTGCTTGGAATATAAAGCAAATTCAGGGACTGGTTCATGAGATTCAGTCTGTCCATCCAAAACTAGCAATTTCTGTCACAAAACACAGCAGCCGTAGATATCACACCCAATGCATAGTCTAAATAAAACTATAAGTTAGAAAAACTTGAGGTTGAAGAAGTCTTCGCTTGGCGGTGAAAGAGAAGTATTTAAGTGTCTTAATAATCATCATCATGAGTCAACAAACCCTTGAAGAGTCTGAACCAACTTCATTGTCTTCTTCTTCTGTGCAATTCCTCTCATGTATGTATACCCTGTGTTCCATATCATCTCTTTAAGTGCAGCCTCTCATTTTATCTTAGTTCATTGTCAGTGTTCAGAGATTTTCTTCAGCCCTGAGAAATGCATCGCTCCACAAGCTCAGCTGGACCAGAACATGAAAAGTTCACAGAATGGGCAATATCGCAAGGCATACAAATCAATGGTGTCGCACCGACGCGGTTCCCTGGTCAGGGTGTTGGGATTGCCGCACAAAGGAAGATTCATGTAAACATACAGCAGCCTCTTATTTACTTGTAAATTTTATTCATTGCCTTTTTTTTTCGCGCTCGGCGAAGAAATTAATATCTCAAATTTTACATAATTCCTTTCATTCGGCATCAGAATTTGACTCTGCTAACACATATTCTCTAGGCTGGAGAAGTGGTCGTACGAGTTCCGATCAGCGAGATGCTGACGATAAAGAGTGTGCCCTCGACATTCCGGGAGAAATTCCCGGATAATATTCCTGTTCAAGGATTATATGCGGCATACATCTGTTGCACAGAGGAATTCCAAGACAGATACGCACCCTGGCGAGCGGTGTGGCCTTCGCGACAAGACCTTGGGCAAATTTTACCCACGCTTTGGCCCCAGCTCCTCAAAGGCAGCGCATCAGGTCGCTCTGTTTCTAGTCTGTCCTATCCATTGCTTCCCCCATCCATCTCCGGTTCGTGGAATACAATATCCAAGAGACCCATAAAACATGCATATACAGCAGAACATCAAAACCTCTTACCAGAGCAAGAAAAGCGCCTTGACAAGGCATACCATATTGTCAAGCAGGTCCTCCAGGATGTTGACAAAGATCTTTACACATACTACTGGCTTATTGTGCATACAAGATCTTTCCACTACATCCCGGCCGGCACATCGCCCCCTAAAGACCACAATGATGCCATGGCACTTTGTCCCTTCGGGGATTATTTCAACCACATAGATGAGGGCGGTGTGAGTAAGATACTTGGTCACTAGCGAACGGATAGCTAGGAGATGTCGTGCTGACTTTATTACTAATGGATTGACAGTGTGAAGTTTCTTTTGACAACGATTACTATACATTCAGAACATCCAAGTCTTATGGTACCATCTTTCACTCCATCGCCAGATATGATATCGGACATCTCACTAACGACAATCCAAATGATTAGACAAGGGAGAGGAGATATTCATTTCCTATGGAAATCATTCGTGTGATATTCTTTTGACCGATTGTGAGTTTTATATTGATGCATTCAGGACCAGCTATCAGTCATCAGCTATATAGGAAACCGAAGGCTTACATTACAAAAGATGGTTTTATCCCCGCTGTGAACAAATGGGACGACCTGTTTCTAGATGACATAATTCTAAAGGATTTCTCCTCCAAAAAGATCGAAGCTCTTAGCATTGATAGATACCTTGGGTGAGCTCACCATCTGCTACTATTTCATTTCCCTTCAGTTTTCGCTGCCGTCAATTAATTCTTTGCTAAAACCAACGCGCCACTAAAATACCTCACAAAACAGAAACTACCAAATAACTACCAAAGGCCCCTGCTTTCGCACTGAGGTGGCTGCTTGCATGAAATATATGACTCTCGATGATTGGAATCAGTATATCCTTGGATACCAACCAGCAAGTTTTGACCAGAGGAAGACGAATTCGATCATCGCGGCCTGGATACACGAGTACATTCATGAGGCCGAAGTAGCTATCTCGAAGTTAACAGCGCTACGGCGGAGCAGGAAGTATGGCGGGGAACCTCAATTTGACGTCATCTCTATGAGGTGGAAGCAGATAGTAGAACTGTGCAATGCGGTGCTGAAGACTGTTGATTAATTGGAGAATATTGCCGGGCATTAACAAAACCCCCAGCACTCTAACCGAACGGAGAGAGAACCTCTACTTCCTCTTGGGATATTGGCATATGTCAAAATCAAATATATAAGATATATATATATATGAGAATATGATGATGGAAATGGATAGGAACTCCTATGGCTGTCGAACCAAAATGAGCTCCTAAAAAATATTAGGATAAATAGCAAATATAGGCACTAACATCTAAGCCCGCCCAGCAACCTCTGGCTCCATAACCATGGGGATATCCCCAAATTCCTTTGCGAGCTTAATCTTCTCTCGAGCCAACACCATCTGAACCACCATATAGTTCAATGCGCACTTGATCCCCAATTCCTCCCCTCTCTTCACAATATAACCATTCATATACTTAATCTCCGTCGGATTCCGTAGACGCACATCTTGCAACATAGAGCTAACATTTTTTGCCGTGTTTGCCATAACGCTCACCGCAAGGGTGCGCAGGCGGTCCGGGGCGAACCGTGCCTGTATACCGGGGACACCCTGGAGTTCCGGCAGTGCGCAGATGACAGCAGAGATCTCGAGGAGAAGCAGTCGTTGGACACGGGAGATGTGGTAGTTGTAGAGGAGGTCACCGTTGAAGCAGTCGAAGATGACGGTGAGCGGGTTGATGATGCAGTTTATGACGAGCTTTTCAAGTTGGTGTTGGAGGAAAGTGTCAGAAGGAACTGCGCTGGCTACTAGCTGGGTATTGCGGGTTAACACCCGTATTAGGTACAGAGAGGTAGATGCCCAAACTTCCTCGGGTAGGCTTGATTGTGCTTTGTGGAGTGCCAGGAGGTCATTCCGGTGTTGTAGCTGTTCTTCCTCCTGGAGGTCTTCTGGTTGTTTTTGTATTTCCCCCTCCTGTCGTTGTTGTTCTTCTGATTGCTCGTGAGCGGCAGCTATTCGGCCCATTTCCTGTTTCTTCTTATACTCCAAAATATTATTTTCGGTCCTAGCTCTTGCCAGCGGGTTCGTGTATCCGATGCTGAATAAACAGGTCCCGACTCCCGCATGTTTGATCACAAAATGATCCATTTTAAACAGCCCATGCGATATCACTCCAAAGACATAACTGGGGCGGGTCTCTGGATCGGGAAAAACATGTTCATTCACTTGTTCCTGGACCCCCAAGCCATTGTGTACGAAGACAATGGTAGAATATGGTGTGAGGCGATGTCTAACAGATTCCAACACCCACCGGACCCTTGTGGCCTTGGAGGCGACGATAAGATTGTCAATGATTTCCTCATTCGCTTCCAAGGGATCCCGCTCAGGATATCCGCCAGCTTCCTTCTGTTCCCGAGCTAGTTTTGAATCCTGTGGCACGTAATGCCAAACGCCGTCTCTTTTGACATTTATGTCGAACCCCCATCTATGCTCTGCCAGTCCATTTCGCACCAACGTTATCCGCCGCCTGTTTTTTTCCCACCGTTCTAGTGTCTTTTGGTTGTGTAATAGGAGGGTTACTGGCGGGCGTTTTGTATCGCCAGCCAATGAATGGGCGAGAAATCCTCCAATATTTCCCACCCCTATAATATGTATTCGCGACGGTATTCTTTGTTCCTGAAGCCGGGGTTCAGGTTTGACGTATCCGTCATTCCGCGGTTTGAGGGTGGTATGGAAGAGTCGCAGGGAAACTGACTGCATACGGATGGCATCAGGACATCTTGCGAAGAGTTGGAAAGTCGTGACGCCAACCCGCATTGTGACTGTTGGTACACCTGAATTTATTTGGCTTGCACCCGGCGTGTAATTTTTAGATTGTCAATCGGTCCCGCGATGGGGGGGTCCTTGTCATAGCTTAGGCAGACCACTGCATCCGGAGATATTCGGGCAGGAATTCGAGAGCTGGGTTAGTTGCAATAGATATTGTTGGAGACTAGATCTCAAGGATATTCCGGGAGACTTGTATACCGATTCTGTGGTATGGAAGGCTCCAATTGGACATGCTGTTATGTGCGACGTCGGAGGAAATATATATAATTCTCTCGTTGCACGGCTCAACAAGCTATGATCGCCAGAGATGCGAAGGTCCGATAATGTAATTTGATTCCCGGTTTTTCACAATCAACGCTCTCGTATTTGCAGCAGCTTATGAACTCAGCATATAGATACTCGTCTATAAATTGCTATATATTCGTATTGAAATATTCAGCCAGGGTTGAACTGGCATAGAAATGTTTGCGGCAACCGGAGGTTCGTCAGATCTAAGCGCGAAAGACGCTAAACTCGGCTGTCGGCGCTGACATAATCCGTCATTTTTCGCGCCCAAACTTTTGTTCTTCTTTCAACCGGGAAACATCTCGTCAAGAAGAGCCCCAAATTGACCACAACCCGCCAGGCATGGAGACTACAGACTTGACGCCGCTGCTAGAGCAGCTGGAGGACAACATCGATGACCTTGAGGATGTCCTTGAACCTCTTCTGGGCCAACCACTGTCTGCAACTACCCAAAAAATGCCCGTGTTGGACAAGGCAAAGCTGCATGTTCTGATAACCTACGCTATTGAATCCATGATTTTTTGTATGATATCTCTGTTGTCCTTGCGATGTGCTCGCTCGCATTCTACTTCATGTTCATCCGTGCTGATAATTACCTATAGCCTATTTGCGACTTCAGGGCGTAAATGCGAAGGAGCACCCAGTGTTTAAAGAATTGACCCGAGTTAAACAGTACTTCGAGAAGATCAAAGCCGTAGAGACTGTTCCTGAGCAACGGACTATGGCTGTGGACAAGGAAGCTGCTGGACGATTTATAAAACATGGACTGGTCAGATCCCCTATCTCCTTATACGACCGCTATCTAACACTTTTTTTCATTGATCCTTTTTCGAACCACAGGCTGGAAACGACAAGTATGACCTAGAGCGGGCGGAAAGAGAGGCGAAGGAGAAAGCCATGGCACTACTGAAAGCTGCGAAGCTTGCTCGCCAACAAGCATCTAAATCCCAATCCAAACCCCAGTCCCAGCCCCAAGCCCAAGCCCAATCTCAAGGCACACCCCCCGCGGAACAACAGTCCCAAACAGGAGCTCCTTCTGAGTTGGAGAAGACAGGAGGCGAAAGCGTCCAGAAACTCAAAAAGATCCCGTCCCTAGGCCATCTGCCAAATGCTAAACAAGAAAAAAGAAAGAAAAATTCACAAGGGCGGAAAGATCGCAAAGAAGCCAGAAAGAAGCGGAAGTTAGCTTCCAGGCAAGCTAACAACCCAAGTAATGGTTGATATGCAAGACGGAGATCGTACTGGAAAATCTGTTTACTGAGGTATAAATCGTGGCGTTGGACGCTTTCGATTCTCCAGTTGGGTTCCGCCAGTAAATGTACGCGTGTGCCTAAATGCTGATCGTAACTTGGCGTTGTCTGCTATGGATTAGGAGATGCGCAGGAACTGGAATTTATCACAGCCTCCGAGGGAATGTGTGTCGGATAGATGGCGGTCTGGTTGGTGGACATTCATGTTCTTACTCAACGGAATGTTCTAGCATCACCATCCTCTAATTGTGAGAATGTGTCTTCCAGCATAGCGCGTGGGGAGGATATGGGCTGTATCTGGCTGGGAGCTTGAATGTTGAAGCGCGTCGGACTGTACAGTTAAGAAGCTAGAAATTTAGAAGTTTATACCCTACGAAAAACCTACCCTTTTACTTCTCCCGCATATCTCTTTTCCTCCTCCTCAAACACCACAGAAACACATAGAAGTATATGGTAATTGCAATACCGTAATGTTTCCACATCCTTTGGGTCAAGTTATCCGCCGTTCAACCAATCGGAGTTCGCGTATTCGGCATCGGTCCGACTATTCTCCCCAGCTCCGACGGCTCCTCAAAATTACCCGTATTTTCAAACACAACCAGTCAAACCATTTCAACTCTCATCCAACATCTCTCTATCTATATTCTAATACAGCTTTTAACCCCCTCTTTTCACGCAACAAACCAAACAAACCTCCCCATTCGCATCCCAAAAATGGCTCGTCAACGCCGTGGTGCCGCTCCCGCCCGCAGCGCTCCCTCAAGACCAGCTGCTGCTCCCGCCAGACCCGCGCCCGCCCAACAGCAGCGCTCCGCTACCACAGCTGCTCAACCCCCAGCTACCACCCCTGCTGCTCAACCACCTGTTGCCCAAGCCGCTCCTGTGCAACAGAGCTCTGGGCCAGGCCTGTTCGGCCAGATGGCGTCTACCGCTGCGTAAGTACTGTTCACCTTAAATGGCCCGCTTGTATAAAATGGAAAGGGAGAGAGAGCGAGGAAGGCGGGATACGAGAAAACATAAACTAACAGTTCATTTTACAAAAAAACCAGCGGTGTCGCCGTCGGCTCTTCCATCGGCCATGCCATCGGTGGATTCTTCGGCGGTGGCTCCAGCGCCCCAGCTGAGGCTCAACAAGCACCCCTACCAGCCGCCGCCCAGCAGATGGACAGCGGCCTCTATCAGAGCAACAGCGCCACCAGCGGCTGGGCCGAGAATCCTGCATGCGAGACTGACGTGCGCGCGTTCAGAAAGTGCATGGATGATAACCAGGGAAATATGTCCATCTGCGGCTGGTATTTGGATCAACTGGTATGACTATTTTTCATCCATATATTTTTTCATATGTCCGCCTTTTTTGGGAGATGGGATATGGATGCTAACTATTTGTATAGAAAGCTTGCCAGGAGGCTGCTAAGCCGTATTAGACGAGACGGTTGTTTCTCGTTCGCCAGTTAGGGCTTTTCTATTTTAATATTCAAACGATGGTGGATGCAGTAGAATCGTGATCAACATCATTTTCCTATATAGCGCGTACATACCATCGGTCAGGATTCAGCTGAATCTAATTCGGCTTTTTTTTTTTCCCCCTTTTTTTCACGTTTTGTGTACTTGTACAAATACTCGTGGTGTGTCAAGGACATTGTGGATATGATGCCGTTCAGAAGAGAAGCACAACAAATGGCTACCACATAGAAATATTAATATAATAGAGAACAAAAAACACCAAAAAAAGAGAAAATCTCAATTCCAACAACGCCGATCCCCCTGCTATCGATATGCCGAAGTCGTGATGACAAGACCGGGTTCCATAAGAACTATGTAGAGTGTCTGAAGACATAGTGAAAAGTCAATAACAAACCAGGGCTCCCGAACCACATATCAAACAAGATACACATTGATAATTAAGTATACGACGATAGGAGACTTCCTTAAAGCTTGCTATCGTTAGATCAAAAGATTTCCATATTTACTCGCTTTCTTGATCCCTACGGGGTTCGAAATTTAACTATTTCATAGCACCTGTCAGTATATCAGGGACACGAATTACTCAAAAAGTTTTCTTCATGTTATCCGTAGGGGAAGAAAATGCTTCTATTTTGAAAGAAACGTGGGGGAAACATATATCCATACCTGATTCCCGTTATAAAATTGGCGCGCTTCTCCATCATCACCGTCATAGAGAGTTCTCACATTCGATCTCACATTCCTACCTCCCAGCAGATTAGCTCTATTTGGTGCCTCTGCTGCAGGTGATGACTCAGTTGCCGTCGACTCAGGATTCGCAGCTTGGCTCTGAGATATCCCCAGAATTGATCCTATGGCCCCTGCTACCGCACCAACGGTTCCCGTAACCAGGTTATAGCCAGCATACAGCCCTCGGACGGGAAGTGAAGCTCCCGCAGAGGCATAAGCTTCTGTGTATGTACGCACTGGAACCATTACTAAATTTGCAGTAGGACCTAGACCTAGTTCCTCAAGGGTTTGATCTTCTTCTGCGTCTGATATGGTTCGGCTGGGAAGAGGTGTCAGGATCTGTTTTAAGTTATATGGCGCGTCGCCATCCGAGCGCTGGCTATCCAGCCAGGGGCGAACGTCATTTTGAATGGTCTGAGTGGGTGAGAAACTTGAGCGTACTGAACTGCCGTCAAAGAGACGTATCTGTAGGCGGAATTGATTTGGTTTAGGCTTCGGTGCCGGTCGTTGGTGGGCTGGTTTTGGGGGATCATTTTCATTCTTGGTTAATGACGCAAGAGATGCTCTTATCGACTCCTCTCTCGCTTTTCGAGCTTCGTTATCACGCCTGATCTGTTCTAATATTCGATCTCGTTCTTCTTTCTTTTGCTGTTCTCGTTTCCGCTGTTCTAACTTCCAGTTTTGAGCTTGTGATTGAGACGTGTCTTGAACCCGTTCTGGCTCCTCGGCCGTCTCAACTCGTCGTTTGCCAGCTCTTATGCTTTCCCTCCTTGCCCGTTCAGAAGTTCCCTGCTCCTGCTCCTCTGTAGATTCCGAGTCGTGGTCCGGGGTATGAGTTGAAAGCGGGCGGGAGGATACCGGAGTACTTACCCCAGGGGAACTATTACTGTCCACCTGTGCTGGCGGAGCCATCTGCGAAGTTGGGATAGGGGGATCTTCGAGCGCCTTTTTCAGTCGACGTTTAAATTCCTCCTCAGAGACACCTGATACGATGTATTCCCGAAGTACGCCGTTTCTAAAACCCATCTGTTAGCGCCGTGTTTGCCGGTTCGAAAAGAAGGCTATAAGGGAATGAAAGGCCACCTTATGACGACCAACGTGGGGACTTTGCTTATGGGGCAAAACGAGGCCAAATAACCTGCTTCCACTGAACCCGCTTGTAGTCGCAAAGAGATAGTCTTTGACTTTATTAATGGCGCTACCTAGCAAATAGAGATAATGGTCAGTATATCCAGTCATACATTCCTGCGTCAAGCGTGATGGGTAGAACAGGCTCATACCTCGTCATTAGCCAAATACTCATTCTCCCATTTCGAGCTTTCATCCGTGTCGTCTAAATTAGGCACATTTCGACAAGGCCGCGATATAGATTAGCATTTCATATAAGTCACCACACATTAGCTGCCAACAAAGTTTAGGTAGATGCGGGGGGGGGAATTAAGGCACAAACCTCGAACAAAACATATGACATATTTGGCTTCATTGACAGCAAGGGCTATACCGCCCTGTAGATCTCCTTCGTAAAACATGTTCGGGTATCGATGTGGTGTAGTATAAAGGCATATTGAGTAGACAAGCGCAGAGGAAATAGTTCAAGCTATGTTGGAGCTTTGATGGAATGATGCAAATGGGGTTCGGCTGTGCACGGACCAACCATATCTGTTGGCTTTCCTTGCTTGCTCCGACGACACTCGAGAATCTTTGTATTATTATTTAAATATGTCGTGCAAGGTAACATAGCCAGTCATTCCCTAACGAATTTGTTTTCTTATTTATTTCATTGACCTTCTTATTGTTCATATTACTATTTCATTTTGCATTATATTTTTGGCATTCCTATGAAGTCCTCACTTTCCCCGCTGCAGAAATTTGCGTCTGCATTCTCCCGTAGCCCATTACGAACCACACCGCGGAGGCTGAATGCGGATTCAATAATATGTGCGCGTTGTTGGAGGAAACAACAGGTCCGCTTTGCCCATCAGCCAGCTGACGATCCGACCTGGATATCTGTTGTGGACAACCCCGCAAAGCTCGTGAAAACGGGGAAGAGACATGGCCCAGGATTGATCCTTCTAGGTACGCTTGACGGATCTATCCCCTGCAAAAACCGGCAGGAACTTTTTTTTTCTCCTTTTATAGAAAAGAAGAAGAACATTGCATTGACAATTGTTTACTAGCCATCATACCCATTACCGCGTTTGCCCTCGGAACATGGCAAGTTCAACGCTTGGATTGGAAGACCAAGCTCATTGCCAAATTTGAAGACCGTCTCGTGAAGGCACCCCTACCTCTTCCTCCTGTCGTTAATCCAGATGCCATCGCCGACTTCGATTATCGCCGGGTATATGTTACGGGTCGCCTAAGGCACGACCAAGAAATGCTCATCGGGCCTCGTATGTATGAGGGCAAAGATGGATATCTCGTCATTACACCACTGGAGAGAGGCGATGCCGGGAGCACAGTACTCGTCAACCGAGGCTGGGTCCCAAAGGATCGCAAGGACCAGAAAGATAGGAAGGCAGGTTTACCTGAGGGAGAAGTTACAGTGGAAGGATTACTGCGCGCCCCTTGGAAGAAAAATATGTTTACGCCGGACAATAAGCCGGAAGAGGGAAAGTTTTATTTTCCAGATGTAGTGCAAATGGCGGAGCTTGTTGGCAGCCAACCAATTTGGATTGAAGAGACAATGAGTAAGAATTGCTCCCCCTCCTATTAATTCTTACCCACTGGTGAATCCCATCGCCCAAAAAACTGACCCCGGAATCGGTAGACCCTGAGCTCCTCACAATATACCATAGAGAAGCGAATGGTATTCCTATCGGGCGCCCACCTGAAGTAAATCTCAGGAACAATCACTCCCAGTATATCGCAACATGGTAGGTGGTTTCTGTCGTCCACCCAACCCCGCTTGCCCTGATCTTGTGTCTAATTATTAATTGCCTACCCAGGTACGGTTTGTCGTTGGCTACCGCGATAATGTTCTGGATGGTCGTTAGAAAGAAGCCAAACGAGATAACTCGGCGGGTGCGACATAATAAAGGCTGGTAGCCTCGAGACGCATCAATCTCTCCACTCTTGCTACGGGCGGATTGGTCTTCTGGGTTTTAAAGGCGCTTTTCGGTGGAGTTGAAATTTTTCAGCGCTTTGGAAGACGGATATCCTGCACAAGCTCTTTGGGCAGATGCCTTTGGGCAAGCGCAAATACTGTGGTGTTTTTGCCAATATGCCGTTGCCTGTCTCCCACATTAGCATGTAGGCCTAGGATCCAACTCTGAATACTCATGTTGAAAGTGGGATCTGAAGTCAGGGAAAAAGGAGGAAGGGGAAATTACCTTCTCATGAGTGTCATGACATCCGTCTCATCGATAGTCTTTCTGCCTGCATGTTTCGCATATGTTGAGAGGTCATCACTCGCTTGCTCAAAATACCATTCCGTCGCCTGCTCAATAGCAGCCAAGGTCTCCTTGCTAATTCTCGACTTTCCTCCACCACTCCGGGCAAACCGAGTGGCCAACTTTTTTACGATACCGGATGGTAGCCGTGGTACAGGGATACCGTGTCGTGATAGCTTTTGTTGCTTGCTACCCTTCACCTTTTCTTGAGGTACTGGTTCTGGACTGCTTGAAGGAGGTGCGGGCCTGGAAAGGTCGTCTTGGATTGCAAACTCAACGCCTCCTCCACCAGTAACGCTATCGGACGACGGAAAGTCGGTTTCCACGTCAGGATTGATATCAAGGGCAAAATCCTCATATTCTTGCTCAAGCTGATTTCCGGAAATCCCAGCGGTCGTTGCATCTGGTGTCGGGAAGGAAAAGTCAAGGTTAAAACGTCGCAAATCTTCGGTCTCTCCTCTTTTGTAGATTAGCTTTGAATATATAAAGAATAATTGACGAACCCTTACCCTGCATCAAAGATAGGCCCGGTATCTTGTCCATGATCGTCTCCATCATCTCCATGAACTGTCGTATACTCCAGTTCCTCTTCCTCTAGATCCTCCATTCTGCCGAGGTCACCGAAGCGGTCACTGAATCGATTGCTCCCCATGCTTACTCTGGACAGAGTAGTTCGATCCTGTATACTCCGCTCTCGCCTTGGCATTTCTATTGATCTCCAGGTGAGATCGATATCTTCCTCAATAGCCAACGAGAGTCTAGGAGGCTGGATATCTGGACTCTTATCGTCCTCTACTATCATTTCCGCAAGCGGTAGTGAGAGCCTAGGCCTTGGAAGATCTGGTTCTTCATCAAGATCATCGATCGGTTTGGGTGTGGGTGGCTTCTCCGGCTCTTCTTGTGGTGATGATGAAACTGCTCGCGTGGTGGGGGCCAGTACTAGATTTCAAAACGAATACTTCAATTTAGTAAAAACATCACTTGCTACCTAAACAAGGTATATAGCAGCGTCTGATTACGAACTTTTACCCAGGTTCCTTAGGATATCCATGGGCGTTTCTCGCTGCACCCGTCCACTTTTCCTCCGATCCCGCCCAGGAGTATATGTAGCTGCACGTCTTTGAAGCGCGCGCAGCGCATGAGGAGTCGCGGGGGGAGCATTGGCGCCTGTATATATGCTACCTGGTGTTCGTCTTGCGGAGGCTCGGTTTGCGGAGAGCGGAGGCCGAGCGGCAATTGCCGCCGGAGTTGTAGGGATTATTGTTCCCGCGAGTTGGTGAAGCTAAATGAAGCCAGAGAGGATAGAAATAGAAAAGTTAGTCAATATTCTTTATGCGCAGCTTTTCCATCCCGTAATCATGTTTTCCACGTACGGCATTGAGGGGGCTCTCCTGGTCTGAGTTTCTCTTCCCTGCGCTACGAGGGGTGGTCCTCCGGTAGTTTTGTTTGGAGGGTGGCGACATAATCAATGCTGAATGTTAATTTTCCTTGCGCGCGCAAAACGGCATGCCTAAGCTTGAGAAAGACAACTTATTCGCTGGTAGGAAAACCTTATATTTGCTTAATTGCGACGCGTTGATTCCATTGTTGTGTTCTTGCGGCGAAGGTTGAGTGAGGTAAATAAGGCGATCTGGGTTAGGAGATATTTAGTTAATGACTAAGCACAAGGACAGAGCCAAAAAAAAAAAGCTGAAGCTTCAAAAAAGGAAAAAAAAAAATATTAAGATAAAATAAGAGCATTTCCGCTTTGGCTACGCTTTCTTTTAAGAAATACTATATAAAACCCACAATGGGGTCGCCAGCGCAACCGAAACTTCCAGCTAAAGCGACGAAAAAAAGACGTAGAGAAGATGAGGAAGACGTCCTTCCCACTAAGCAGGCAGCTCCCACAGCACCAGCAACCGCAGCGAATGATGGAGGTAGCAAAAAGAAGAAACGGAAGAAAACGAAGCAGATCGTCGAAGATCCAAAAGATGCAGACAAGAAAGATGGCATAGACGAGTCTATTGGCAAAATGGACGGGCCTCTCCTGGCAGATTTCTTTGCGCAGCAGGCAAAAAGGCACAACAGCGAATTGACCGCGGTTGAATTAGATGATGTCTATGTTCCAGGTAAGAGATTTTTACATGCTTAACTTAACTTTAGGCGATATATTCATTCATGAACATGCAGATCTAATCTATTTGCTTTCGAATTTTGCGCTGACCTTGAAACAGAGCATGCATTCCTAGACACGACGTCTTGGAAATCACCAAGAAAGTTAGAGAATCTCCCTGCATTTCTCAAGGTTTACAGTAGGAAGAAAGGTAGTCCTGATTCGCTGTCAACTGCCCCTGAAGAAAAAGGCAGCCCACATACGATTGTGATTACACTCGCGGGCCTTAGAGCGGCCGATATTACGAGGTTAGTATTCTACTTCATATAGGAACTTGCTCGCTGCAGCTAAGTTTTAATAATGCATTTAAAATATTAACTAATGGATTCGTTCTAGAGCGCTTCGGCAATTCCAAAACAAAGATTGTACTGTCGCTAAGCTATTCGCCAAACATATCAAACTGGCTGAGGCTAAAGAGTTTGTAAAGAAAACGAGGTAAGGTCTTTTGGAAAATTTCCAAGTAATTAATAACCGCTAATTTTGTGCAGAGTTGGTATTGGGATTGGTACTCCTGTTCGATTGAATGATTTGGCTGCCTCTGGTGAGTTTCTCCCTCGGGGTTAGATTTGGCGGGATTCAAACGTGGCTAAAATGTTCTATTCTTAGGCGAATTGAGTCTTACACATCTCAAACGTATTGTCATCGACGGCTCATACGTCGACAAGAAGAAGCGGGGTATCTTCGACATGAAAGATTTACACCTCCCTCTTCTTCAATTTCTCAACCGCGCGGATCTCCGCGACCGGTACTCCTCTAGCGATAACCGAGTGGAAATTCTGGTTTTTTGAACTGATACCCTTTTGTATATCGCTAAGCGTGGAGACGCGGTAGGATTACGGCACTTCTGCCTAAATTCAAACTCGGTTAATACATAATTCTCCCGCATGAGATGTCTTCGCAATTTGAAATCGTCGACCATCCCAATCAGGTTCACGCCACCGCAGCTAGAGGCCGTTCCTCACTTACTATGAGAAGACTAACAGCCAATTCGAGGAAGTAGGAAAGATAACCCGGCCGGTGGTGAAGGTTTCTGTCTAAAATATGCATGATTTGGAATGAGAGGAATGATGTTGAGCGCTGAAACCTAAAAGGATTGTTGGATGGGCAGCAAGAGCTGGAAGAGAATGAAACGACCCGGGGTAATCTCCTGATCTGCCTGATTGAATACCATACTTCACGGTTATTTCCGGAGCTGGCGGCGGTTTTAAGAGCCAATATGGCTGAATGGGTCGGTTGTACTTGCAGCAGTCGTCATAGTTAATTAGAAATTTCACTACCCTAATTTCTCTTAGGACCTCGCGACGATTAAATTAACAACATGTACCACCAGTAGATATCTTGCTATCCAATGGTTCCCACCATGCTGTTTGAGGTCTCAGTCTCGATATATAACTTGCAGGAGAGGGTGGGACTTGTATCGTATGATGGCCTGAAGGCTCAGAAAATTCTACAGCTTTTGGGAGTCTGGACACAAAAACACAAAGCTCTCCAGCAACTACAATTGGCCTTCCATCATTTGCTAGGGCCGGGTGTCAACTTCTCTAGCCAAGTCTACAAACAGTGATAGAACTCGCCGTGAAAGCATGAACTAGACGTGATTCCTTCCAAGGTTCCAAGGTTAGGGCTTCAACGCCACGTGATAGATTTTGGTCGAGTTGGAAGCGGTGAGGAGATCATTTATTCTCACCGCCTAGCCTGGCTGGTTTGGCAGAAATATTTCAGCAAAAATGAATAAATTTGCAACGGATGTACTGTACAGAGTAGTATACCGGGGAGATATCGAAGAAGCTTCGAGCACGAGAAGTGGAAAGATTTAGTGAGTGCACTCCTATAACCCGAATTTCAATGGGCCTTTACATTCGAGATAAATTAGTTGTTTTATTTTCATTCCCCATTAGCTAACTACATTTGCATTTTCGTACTAGGGAGTTTTTCGAGTATCGAGTTCACGCTCGGAAATCTATCAGCCGCAAAAATGGGCGATAAGCGGAAACGGAGCCAGTTACTGGCTGAAGATGATGCGGTCGAAGTTGCGGAAGTGAAACAGAAGAAACCCAAGAAGAGCGACAAGGAGAGGAAAGGAGATAAATCAAAGAAGGAGAGGAAGGAAAAGACAGGAAAGAAGCAGGATGACGAGGAAGTTCAGGACAATGTTGAGGTTAATGGCCTGGGCATGGATGTTGAAATGAAGGATAGTGATGAGGCGACCCCATTGGTAAATGGTACTGCAGGAGAAGAAGCTGAGAATAAGGCGAAGGAGGCGAAGAAGGGGAAAAAGGAGAAGAAGGAAAAGAAGGAGAAGGAGAAGAAGGAAAACAAAGAAAAGAAAGTTAGGGAAGCCGATGAAGTGGTGGAAGAGAGACAAGATAAGAAAAAGGAGAAGAAGGAAAAGAAGGAAAAGAAGGAAAAGAGGAAGGATAAAAAGGACGTAGAAGGCAAGGATAAGTTGTCAAAGGAGGGTGAGGAGAAGGGGGAGGGGGAGCAGGAAGCAGTGCCAGGAAATTTAGAGAATCAGGAGAAGAAAAAGAGCAAAAAGAGCAAGGATAAGAAGGAAAAGAAGCGGAGCAAAGATAAGAAAGATAAAGAGGGCGTTATGCTCCCTGAACACGGGGACATGACCGAAAAACCCGCTGCTGTTGAAACTGATGCTGCTGAGGTGAATAGCGTTGATAAAACTATCGAAGGGACCAATGGACACGATGAAGAGAAGAAAAGCCAAAGATTCATTGTATTCATTGGTAAATGCCCTTTATTTTATCTACACCTCCCTTTTGGCTCTCTAATTCCTCGTCCAATTACGAAATAATACTAACATCGCGGTCTAGGTAACTTGCCGTTCCAAACAACTCTGGAAGCCGTGCAAAAACACTTCGCAAAAATCGACCCCAGCCATGTCCGACTCCCCAGTGAGAAAGGCGGGAAGAAAGGCCGTGGCTTCGCCTTCATCGAATTCGACCATTACGATCGCATGAAGACGTGTTTGAAGCTGTACCACCACTCCTTATTCGATGATGGCAAGAATCCTGCCAGGAAAATCAATGTTGAATTGACGTGAGTGATCCTTTCTTTTCCCTCCCTCTCTAATCACATCTATGTTTGACTTGTTTCCAATCCCCCTTCCAACACGGTGCCAAAACATACTTTAACTTCCACATCCCTATTAGTGCTGGTGGTGGTGGCTCGAAATCCGAAACTCGTAAAGCGCGCATCGTGGAGAAGAATACAAAACTCTCGGAACAACGTGCTCGCGCAGCAAAAGAAGCTCTGAAACAGAAAAATAAAGCCGATGCTGCTAAGCCGGCTGATGATGCAGAGGCAGCGCCAGTGAAGAACGATATGGACGATGTGCATCCCACTCGGAGGAGATGGGTTCCGTGTCCCTGAGAAACAGTGCCTTTTGATTTTCTAATGGCGTTGGGTAAGTAAAAAGGGAATATTAACTAAAAAGAGATGGGAAATGGAGTGGAAGTGGTACATGTATCTGTCTCGTTCATCTATTTTATTTTTTATTTCATGCCCTTTTCCCTACTGTATTGGTATTTATATTGAAATTTTACGTTATTACTATTTTCCAACCCCTCGCTCTTTTCCCGTTTGTATGTTCGTTCTCTAATATTAGCTCCTAGGCCTTGGATAATTAACATCGAAGCAGCTTTGCAGACCAGACGACAGCCACTAGTTGTCTCATTTTGTTTCCAGTCTTTCATGGCCTATCGTACTGTCGTGGGATCATTTGATGATTAGGGAGACGCAGCCCCATTCAGTTCTGTAAGCGCCATGCTCAACTGACTATAGCATTTCTGACTCCAGAACCTTATAGGCGCCCGCCTTTCCCCCCGAAACCAATATATTTTTCCTTTCCAACAAATAGGCGGGGTGTGCCTGTGCCGCAATTCTATAGTTACTAATCCGTAGGAGCAGTTAGCAGGATGGTAAGCACCCTTCAAATAAGTAGAACATGCATATCCTTAGGTCCAGCCTAGTGGAAACATGAAGACAAAAGTTTCTCTTGATCGAACCGATACTACTGTGTTCATTGGAAGAATCACAAGCAAGCAACACTTCGAAACGCTGCTATCTTACATCTTACTTATTTTAGGCCACTAGGGCAACAGAGCTCAATCACCACCAGTGGGCACTGATGGTAGGTAGAGAGACTGAACCAACCTGGGACCCCTAGCAACTTATTCATGCACCACGCTAATCTATAAGTCATGAAACACGCTATACGGAGTACATACACCGCCATGCCTCCGGCGACATAGCGGCGCACGGGGGCTGGTCTGGCTTCGTATGATGGTGATGAGGTTGGTGTAGCTGTCGAATAGTGACCTCTATCTGCTGTACATACCCCGATCCGTACCTTGACAAGCACCCATACACCAACAATCTACACAATATTTCGGCCAAAGGGGGGATTGGAGAGGGCCCTCTGAGCTCCTATACATGTGACTTCTTTAGGAGAAGATCCCAGACGCCAGGACGTACATGTACTCTACATGCTCTATGCATCTTTCCTAACTACATCCAAGTCCTCAAAGAATATCAAATATCGCTCCATGTACATGTACAAGCTTCAGTCGCAAATCCCCCCAGCAGCTATGATCATGGCCATTTTTGTCATAAGAGTCCAACGGAACAACCAGCTCGAGTGGTACCATTTAAAGCGTTCTCACCCTGGATATTTTACCATAGTAACCCTCCATATCCCTGAACACCTATCTGTGGCAGTATTCAGATAATATCCGTACGTTCTCAGTCGTCCCAAGTCCGCCATTCCTATTGAATAGCACACGTATACCCCTCAGAATCGGACTGGAGCATTCTACCAACTGCTTTGAGTGCACAGTTACACCGCATCTCATGATCAAGGGGAACTACAAATGGCATGGTATGGTTGGTGCAAAGCTTAGTGCGGGAAACAATCTACACGCACATTGATTTAGGGAATAGGGGGGACGATGCTAAGATGCGACGACGTGTCCTGTTTGGCGTGTAAGGTGCATTGCTAGGTGGGGGAATGGCATTTGGGGGTTTTCCTGCTTGGGTGGGGTGGGGGTGGATATAGCAGGTATCAATGTGTGGTTGCATGGAGAGCACGATAATTTTGTACTTCCAGTTCCTTTCTTTAGGGGGCCAGAGGGCAGAAGGCGACGGGGAGGGAAACGGTGTACGGGTAGCGTAAAGTATACAGAGAGGGAAGAGAGAACAGGGAAAAAGGTTTTTCAAAACACATTATCACCATGTTTAGTGGGAAAATATGATGACAAGAAGAGTTGCAAGACAAAAAAAGGGGGAAGGAGATGAGTTAAGAAGAGCAGGGGGATGAAACGAACGGGGCAATGTTGTAGCTTGGCCATCACTGCTTTCCCTCCCCCATGCGCCGTTACCAAAGCGCGTCGTAATTCGTTTACAAATTATCTAGAGGAATATGAGCAGAGCCAAGTGACGGATCATGAACAAGATTTTGCGGAGGAAGTTATATTAGGTGAAAGCGATAAGTGGCAGCGGAGATGTTGGCGCGGGTGACAACCACGACGGGCGGAAAAGGAGAAAGAAATAAAAAACAATGTGCCGTCGAAAATAGAAAGATGACAAAACTAATCAATCCAAATCCACCTTCCAAGCGGCAGGTAAAAGAAAGAAGGGGGAGGGGGGAGGGGGGAGGGGGGAGGGGGGAGGGGGGGAAATAGATAAAGCGTTAAAATGACGACAGACCTAAGCAAAACAAGAGAAAGAAAGGAAACGAAGTGGGAAATTAGAACGCCAGAGCAAGTAATCTGCGGGTGGAGGGCAAACTTCATCAGATCGTAACAATTCGATTTTTTAACAGCTAAGGGTAAATCAAACTGGAGGGAAAAGGAAACCAAAGAGGGGACGGCAAAAGGAGCTGGTCAATTAGTGATTGCAAGATGATGAGGGTTTACTGCCGCTCTTGAATTAGGTCGTTCCCCCTCTATTGAAAATTCTTCGAGTAGGTCGTGGTTCTTCCCGGATAGTTCAGAGGAAAACCCAGTTCATTAAGTTAATTTCGTATAACTCAGAAAAAAAAAATAGGCTACGAAGAAATGTTCGCCGAGTTTCCGGGGATTTCGCTTTCAGTTGAGAAGAAAAGCAAAATAGCTGAAAATGAAGAAAAGTAACATGCTCAGGGGATATCATAGTGTCATCTCTATCGTTCTTCTTTTTGAATCTCAGGCAGTCAGATGGGTTCTGCCGGCACACGAGAGATTTAGAGGAGATTGCATTTGGATTTTTTAGGTTTCGCAACAGGACGTGGATTCAGCACGGCACTAGAAACAGTTAGTCTCCTACGGGTTTCCTAGAAGTTGACGGCGGTGGTTATGGGCATGGCATACCGAATAGCTTCATCGAAGACACTCTTCAGATTTCGCTGCGTGAGGGCTGAACATTCGAGGTATTTTTGTGCTTTGATCTCTTTGGCAACTGCGAGGGCTTGTTCATAAGACACTGGTTCCATCTTCTTCGCACGAAGACTTTCAGCAGTAGCCTTGTCCTCTCGCAGATCCAGTTTGGTCCCTACTAGAATTATGGGGACATTGGGCGCGTGATGTTCGATCTCCGGGTGCCACTACACAAAAAATTAATATAAAATGCGTGTAAAAAAGGGCGCGTGAAACCTCAAATGTGTCTAGGGCGTATGTTGTCAGCGTACCTTCGCTTTGACGTTATCGAAAGACGGCGGGCTGACGATAGAAAAGCATATAAGAAAAACATCGGTCTGTGGATATGACAAAGGACGTAGTCTGTCGTAATCTTCCTGTCCAGCAGTATCCCAAAGACCAAGACTGATTGGCTTCCCATCAACCATTACACTGGCGGAGTAGTTGTCGAACCTATGTCCTGTCAGAAAGATCGAAACACCATGGAGGATGTTTTATATAAAACATACACAGTAGGAATATACTCTCCGGGGAAGGCATTTGTGGTGTAGGAAATAAGGAGACATGTCTTAAAGTTTTATGTTAGCAAAATCAGATATAATCGCCACATTAAAGCTGAAGAGGAAAAATGCTTACCTTGCCAACAGCACCGTCGCCAGTAACAACACACTGGGAGAGGAATGAGAATGCTGGTCAGTAGGTAAATTGGAAACTCAAACATAAATCGAAATCTGGTATTTGGGACGGAAATCTTAAAAGTTACCACCAACCTTCAGTGACTGAGTAGCTGGTCCAGAGGCCATTTTTCCAGAGAATGGAAGTCAATGTAAAAAAAGAGTTAAGTAACAAGGATTGAGAGACCGAAAGCGAATTCCAAATATAAAGCCTAAAGATCAAGTCAAAGGCGGTCTAGCTGGTCAAAGTCCTGCGCCAACGGTGTTAAAGTCTTGACAAAGATGAATGAAGCCCACTGTCCAACAGGATTCAATCCAAAGAAACACACAAGGGCTCTCTAATGGCTTTTTTATTTATTTCTTCGACGAGATATAATGGCGCAGCTTCAAATATCCTATAACCTTTTATATAAAGGAGATTAAAGCTTTTATCGGGTATATGGACTGGGATCGTGGTTGGGGACGTCGGGAGGTGTAGATTGCGGCGGAGCGATAAACAGCAGCGACCACACGGTAAAACCAATTGGCGAGGGATCAGAGCTGATTAGCTAGGAGGATGGAAGCTCCTTTAGTGACGACGATGAAAATGGAATCTGGAGAGGCAACGATATGGTACGAGGCTGGTGGTGAGGGTGTTGGGGGTAGGGTAACCTTCACACCAAGCAGAAGAGCCAGGGAGATTACAAGACACAGCACCGCTCAAGCAGACAATCGATAGAGCAGATAAGAAGAGGACGACTGCAGGCAGGCAGGAGTGGGGGAATGAGACAGCAAGATGATGAGATGGTGAGCAGAGGAGGACAGGAGAGGAGGAGAGAGGTGAGGTGAGGTGAGGTGAGGAGGAGGTTGAGACGAGTTGGAGACCGGACGGGGGACGGTGAGTTGCTTGGGGGTTGACGCCGGCTTGGCCCAAGGAGAGGCTTGGCCCAGGTCTCATACGGGTCGCATCAACCCGCAGCATCAACATATTTATTATTTACATCCCATCGTATAGCCTTTTTTATTTCAGGACTTACTCCAAATCTGGCCATGGTTGGTTTCCCAGAGTCAGATCCTCCTAGATGGCTTTGGTGCTGTGGCAGCTAACTGGTATTTGGTATTTGGTATGTGTTATGCTTAATCTAAATTTTGCATCTTTATATCCAATCCCTCGTCGAGGTTGAACCGGGACTGACCGACAAAGTACCCTGGTAAGCGCCGTGGTATGCTAGCTCCATCGATGCTCCCTGGCATGCTTGGTTGGCCTGGAACCACCCCCAGGATATATAGTTGGACCCTATCGCCCTTCCAACATATAAATCTCTATTTTTATGGAGGCGTGTATATATATATATATATATATGTGCGACTCGAACTCCTCGATGTTCCGTGCAGCTAGTCTGTGCCGCCGCCTCCATGTGGCCCATCCCGGGTTGTCTCTTTAGCTGACTAGCTACATCCAACCATGGACAAGGGTGATTGTATCCCGATCACTAGACGTGGAGATAGCAAGCGACAGGTTTCGTTGCTGCTCTAGATATATTATTTAAAATGGCTACTTTCTTCGAAAGTTTGTTGGATGGAACCACCCGAAATGACCTCGCAATGATTGGGATGTCCAATCCCATTTCTCCTCCCACACATGTTAGAGCGCACTCTACACTGCTGTTGCTCTGTTGCTGTTGCGAGGATGGCGCTGCTGCTGCTGCCGCTGCTCAACCCATGTCCTGTCGTGCAACTGTTGGATATTTTAGCCTCTGGAAACAAATTATAGAAAAGCATACATGTAGCTTCGCCCGCTACAGAGCAAGGGCACAGCGAGCCTTATCAGCTCCCCGCATTATTATGTATAGAAAATTTTATAACTCACTAGTTAGTACGGAGTACAGCTTTGCTAATAACTTATATAACTTGTAGAAAATTCTCACCAAATGTAAGTACAAAACCCGAAATGTGATTTTACAGTTTATCGGAAGAGTATCGGAAAATTTCTGCTTCCCAAAACTGTAATAATAATGGTCGGACGTGTCTCAGTCAGATTCATCCTTCTGCCCACTGCTCATGTTCAATCCAATTTTGTAAATGTGTATGCGCAAGAGGGTGTCCATTTGTTACATAGCTCAATTAAAACCATAACGGTCATCCCGCATATATAAATATGTACATTGTCTCAATGATAAAAACAATAAGAAACTTCTCCCCTCCCCCGCCAAAACATGGCGCCGGAAAAAAAAAAAGAAAAAAAACCTTACAACTTCTCCTCCCTCCTAAACCCGGCAATTTGGCGCCCGGCCTTGATTGTAGGCGGCTCCCTCAATAGCGGGCCCGCAGCCTCAGTGAGGGCCTTCAGGTGGCCGGACTTGCTATGCAGCTTCAGAGACTCGGCATCCTTGTATCTATGAAGTTTAAATTTTTTGGTGTTGTTCGAGAACGTTAGAAATCAGGGTCTGATCCAGTAGCATTCTTTTTTCTCTTCGGAACGATTGTTTGTGCTTTGGAGCAATGAAATCAAGGGCAAGTGTTGCATGAGCAGGGAACGGCGGGGTAGCAATAGCGCATGTTTATATATATGATAATAGGATAGAGGACATGCATTATTGCATAGTTATTTCCCACTTGTTGAATGGAAATGGATATGAGAGAAAAGAACATACCTTTCCACAGCAATTAGTTCGTCTCCTCCCTCTGGTTGCACAACATACCAAGCTAAAGTGCCAGGTTCAGTGTGCTGAATATTTTTGCCTGTTTCAACTAGGTGAGCGGCGAGCTGTAAGTCGGGATGGTATTAGCATTTCTTTTCTCTAGCATTGCCTCTTTGCATTTGTATTTAATTTCTTTTATCTTGGTCATTTGCAATGTGATAATGGGATTACTCACCTCATCAATCTTGCCCGGCAATGGCTTCATGATGGCGATGAGTTGGATTTCTTGGGATATCATGGTTATCGGAGGGGTAGTTACAGATAGAGGGAGATCTGTTCAGGAAGTAGCAGTGAAGATTAAATAACTATTTGATACCCTGAGAAAAATGTAGTTTTGCGGATTTAGAAGAATTTCTGTTATCCTTTTTATCGCCAGCGTAATCGATGTTATTTATATAATTATCTGACTGACAGCTTGCGCTCTAAGCTGTACGCTGTTTTCCCAGTGGCATCATTTTTACGTCGAAACTACCGCGGCATGTGTTCCGCCCCTTTACCGGATGCCGTGTTCCACTGCACTGCCTAATATAATAAGAATACCTAGGCAGTATCCAACTTAACCACTCGCGATCGCTCAGCAACGACGGCCTTCACTGTTCAGTTGAATGGACGAGTTCAAGCATTTGAACCCTCGCTGAAGGCTCTCCCAGTCCAAGATTCGAGCCACACTCAACTGAGATATTTTGACCCTCGTTCAACTGCATTGCCCACCGAAGCAGAGCTATTATTGAAGGATCCCTGACCCAGGCTAAAAGTTTGTCTCTGGCGGCGATATTAACTATAACAGCGCGGCTTGGACAGAATAATGTCCTTGCTGCTGGTGTCTCTGAACTTCCACCTTGCGACTATTCATTTTTGCAAGTCTTTTTTGTTTTTTCTCTTTTCATCAGAGAAATCCTTTATTTAGAGGCTGTTAGGTTAGGGCTGATCGAACAAAACAACAACTAACAGGAGGATAAGTATCCCTTAAACATCTGATATTCTGCCTGATTGCGCTAATTGAAGATGGAAACGCCATATCTTTCTACAGTATGCATGCTCTCCAGCAGGCGCAATGGTTAGCTGAGACAACACATGTATTGTCCCCGCCCACCAAGCTTCAAACCAAAGAATCTGATCCCTTTATCCTGATTGCTATTGGGTTCCCTGGCTAGTCAGTCAGGCGGTAAGGGGCATCGTCCCTTGGAGCGATGTCACCTTCATGGTAGCGTTTCTTGTCTATCTGTGAATTGAGTTCAGGTGAGTGATGCAATACTACGAAAAAGCAGGATGCAATATACAGTACAGAACGCTGTCTTATCCCGCTTCCCTCTTTTGCTCTGTTGCTGACCCATCATCCAGCTAGCTGTATTGTTGCTGTTGCTGCCAACAAGTGCTTATGTGTCTAGACGTTCTTGCTCGCCCCCTCCCCCCTCCTGCAAGCTCCCGGAGCCTTCGTTAGATATGGCTCCTAGTGGAATGGAGCCTCGAGACTATTCTGTTTCATATATACCTATCCAGATATATTTCTATATATCTCTATATAAATACCTTATATCCATCCAGCCTCTTACATGTTCATATTCCCCTACCTTTTATATATAGCTCTCTGCCCGCCTGAGCGCAACAGAAATAGCGTAACTTTTCTTATATATATCCACATATATACCTTTTTACCACGCTACCTCACAACTAGGTTCTAGCCTTTTGACAGCTGTCGATTCCTGTTGGCATAGTTGCTGACTTCACTAAACCTGGAGAATCAGCGTCCATGCGGCGGGATAACAGCAGGATAGTATGATGAGATCACACTGGTCATGGTTAATCGAGCGGCTGAGACCCGCTCAGTCGTCTCCATATTATGCTTTTTACATCCGAGAATGTTTACAACATGGTTATATGACATTCACCCAGCTGAAAATGCATATCGGCATGCAGTTGGGTTTTGGAGAGTGGAAGCACTGTTACTACCCGAGGTCGCAGGACAAGCCTGTCCGGATCGATATGTATGGCGATGGCAATTGCTCCACCTGTGGCATCCGCCACACCGGCTTCAAAGAGATCTTCGCGGAAATGACGGCATTTCATCGATCGTTAGAGTTGCCGCTCCGGTTTCGCTCCCCCTGGGCTTTCTCGTGGGCTGCAGCTGCGGGAGTTTTTTTACCCCCGTGGTCTGATATCCCCTAGTATAGCGAGAACGCGCAGAGGAAGATGTTGGAAGAGATTCCGAAGGTGGTTGTTGTGATGCTGCTAACGTGAGTAGTGACCGGCAGGCAGCTTCGGGGATTTGCATGGTATATATAAAGGGATAACGATCATATATTGACATCTCCCTAAGCGATGTACAATACACCTTTTGAAATTCTCGCACGCTTGTTGATAAAATAAAAATAAAATAAAAAATCACTGCCGTGGTTCGCGAATATGGCTTTTAACTGACAAACCTCCCCTCCGCGAATATCACGATTCTAGTTGGTTTTGTTACTTCCGCGAACAGTCCACGACGTCTGGTCAGAGATGTCGCTGCCTCAGCAACTCAGAGCCTTGCCCTCTATGCTCCTCGAGCGCCAGCCCTGCTGCCCCTGATGCGCCCCGTGCTGTCTTTGGCGCCTTGATGCTCCTGTATTCCCAGCAAAAGTTCATCCCGTGTATCGAGATGATGATGCCTTGGTCATTGAACACAATGGTCTTTTGGCACGGCCCGGGCTTTGTTGATTCAATGGGAAGTAGCGCGGAGGCTGAGGATTTGGCTGAAGACGCAGATCGCGAGTTACTCCGGCGCTACCAAGAAACATCTGCCGTTGAACCTTCGTACATCGGTTCCGGCAAGCGGTTAGGGTTAGAGCCCCTCATTTCCACGATCATGAGAACGAGGATGTGTATCCTGGCACCTGTCGCGCCCTGTCGCGCCTGGGGATCGGACACGCAGCCGGGAAATTATCTTTCCCCGGCAAGGTCCTCCCTCGCCCGTTCTGTTGTGCCTAGTGTTGCTTGTAGGTGTCCCTTTGCCCGTTTCCCGGCATAGGTAAACTTTTTCACAAGAATCCAGTCCAGCCGATTCTCAGATCGAAGTAGGCGGTACCTAGCAGGCTCGCATAGCGACTTGACTTGATTGGACGATTAGCTGCGTTTGATCGAGCGAAGGAACTCAATACTCTGTGGATACATGGGTGGTAGACTAGCGCCAGTTCAACGAATTTGGTTATGCTACAATAGCGGATGCATCTGACTTCATTTCCTATACCTTTTGCCGCTGCCGTGACGAAGGGAATTTACCTCAGAGTGGCTGCACGCCGATGCCAAAACGATCCTCCGACCATATGGCCCGGCTGATATTTTCGGGCAAAATAGCCAGCCACCATTTTGGAAAATGGATGTTGACATGCTCACACGGTACTTCTGTCTATCTAACTTGAAACTCAAAAACTCCGCGCTGTATCGAACCGTCATACCTACCTTTCTCTAGCAGGCAGATACTGGGTATCTTGAACTATCTTCTGCCGCGGGTAGTGTCACTGCAATCAACTTTGAACCTGCCCTCTAATCTCTAGATAACCTCTAGATAGCACAGACAGTGTGTACTCAATCTGTATATTCTCACTGCAATCAACATTGAACCTACCATTCCAATCTTCAGATCCAGATGACCTTCAGACAACCTCCACACTTGCTTCTATCTTCAGAAGTTGCAACTGGTTTTCTGGATCCTTGAGGTGGTCCATGAGTTGTTGATGAAAAGTGCGATGTCCGATGGGTTAATCACGCAGGTATGCCATGACCATGCTACTGGATTCGGGGTTGACCATTTCCCTCGCGTAGTGCCACTTCGGCTACCTACCCCTCAGCCCACCTAAGGTGGCAGGATAACATCACCCAATTCGTTAGGCTGGCGCTGATTTACACCACATATACAAAAGCCAAGACTCGATTCGATATTACAATAGTGCAAAGCAGCAGAGAAGGAAACCGCGGAGGACACTGAATAGAACGGATAGCGGGAACTATGAAGGGCACAGCTGGAAATCCACTCTGTTGCACTCTAACCCATCCGTCATGCTTGCTCGCACTCTACCCTTCTTACACTGACTATTATGCCTTTTTCCTCATTCTACTTATTTGCTCTCCATCTCTTTTACGATATGTTCAATGCGCGCATTTATTCCCATCCATGCCACTCAGCAATCACACCATCTCATTTATGACAGCCCTGGTGATCTCTGTTAAAAATACCTCCGCGATGATAATCATAATGTGTTCACCGAGTTGTTCAGCTGATGACTGCTAGACAAAGTGATATCAACAGACTCATACAAGTGTGAGATTGTCCAGTGGAGTGGAGATCACACTACTATGATCACTAACAAGTCTAAGATTTCACATCAATCAGCTCTTCAAATACATCCAACATTTGGCCGATGTCACTGAGCGCTTGGCCTGTAGCATCCTCACCGTCCACACTAACTACATCGACAAATACTTTGAGTACCCACCGCTCCCATTGCTTCTGATAACTGTGACTCGACTCGATAGTACAACTTAAGTTAGTGTTATGGTTTGGGATTTAGTTACGCCCCTCGCTTCACATCAAAATTCTGGGGATGTCTTTGCGACTAATGGGGATCAAGCGATGGATGACAGCTGCGTAGCGCCCCAACCTGACAATGGAGGTTACCCTGCGTTTGCTCCTCACGGGCCAATACGAGTCTAGCTGGAGCTCCTTGCTCGAACAAGTCGAATGAAGCATAAATTCGACAACCACCGACCCAGCGACTATATCCCCGTTAGAAATCTTGACAGCTGATAAGGCAAGGTGGATTCCGATACGCAATGAGGACTCACCTCCAGAGGTTACAACCTGTATATATAGCTGGGCGGGACGCTCATGCTCTTCTTCTAATTCTGAACAGATTCACTCACTGAAGAGGTTTATAGAGGTTTGACTCTGGAGTTTTGAAGAACATTGAGAAAGGAGTAGAGATTGAATCTCAAGAATCAAATCTCTCAAATTCTGAAACTAAAGATCTTCATTCAAAATAGGGCTTAAAATGCTGCTCTTTTCTAAGTCCTCATACACTAAGTACTCATATGAAAGAGAGATGTTGTTCTTGAGAGGTTTCTCTTTCATTTCCGATTCTTTATGAATCCTACCCCACCCTTTTTCTGTTCCATTGTGCCGTCAACTGAGAGCAGCTCTTCACGCCATAACCCTACATCATACCCGCTGAAGAAGTGGATGATGAGACCGGTTGGCCCCAGATATTGAAGAGTGAGATGCAAATAACTATGTTTCCTAATCCATGTCGCCAGGTGGACAAGAAAACCCTGGCATTGCCTATTTTCACCTTCCTCTCAGACCCTTACTTTTTCTGTAGCCATATCTTCTTTAATAGCGCGCAGCCGCTGACTTCCAATAAATCAGCGAACTACCTGTTCAATTCGCCTAGAGCGAATACTCTGAGTCCGTCACCAGGTGTTCTCGACGATATTTGAAAGCCGTTTATATCAAATATCGAGCATTGATTTTTTTTTTAATATATGTATTTCCCCCGCGGTTCATGAAAGTACATATTCCTTACATGCTCGTTATGTTGGGCTTTAAGCCCCTATTTGGAACAAGCGTCAATATCGATGTGGTATGGAATGGGATATTTAGAAGAGGAAGACGTCAGGGGTGCAGGGGCAGAATATGAAGACATACCTGATATATTAAATATTACCCTGCTATTTTTATATATAAATAAAATAGCTAGCATATGTGTAAGTTAAATACTCCGCACAGTCACTTAGCTTCACGTAAAAGTCTACTACCATTCATTCATTTTCTCAGGAGTCCCCTTGCAATTTCCCCCTATCTAGCATGGTCTGAAGGCCAATAATGAGATCCCTTGGAGCCATAATAAATCTTAATCTGACATTGTTAGAGCCCATGCCCCTGTTCGGCATAGAGTACAGAGTACTGGCAAAACCAGATGCAACGGGCGCAAGGTACCGAGTGACAGAGATGACAGAAACTTTCCTTGTGGTACATAACATACAAGGACATTAAAATAGAAACAATTTGCATCCAATGGTGTAACTGCGGTTGGGATATATATATATATACACCACCCCGTTCTTGTCTGTCGTACACCTTGTGTGACAGAAGGAGGCGCTTTGATGGTGGGGGAACTCAACCGCCAAAAAGTTCCCAGATATAACAACTCAATAATAATAATAACAAAACTAGTTAACTAAATCCAACATGTTGTGTGCTTTGTTTGATGGGCAGATTAGCCCCCTGACGCGGCCTGCTAGCGGCCACTAACAGGCGCTAGGCCCGCCAACCCGCCCGACTAACAACTAACTAAGTTACTAACTATGTAATAAATGTCTGTTCTCCCTTCAGCCTACAAAGTCGCCAACAACAGCCAGCCAACGTCGGATAACCAACCCCCAGCCGCCTGAACAGCCAGTCCCAACGACGAGCACCACACAGCTTTCGAAAGAATTGGACAGCGAGTCTCGTCGTTGCCCAACTTTGCTCTTCCTCTACCCAACCAGTTGTACAGATCTCCCATATATTAGTAGTCATGACAGACAGCCCTCCCCCCGACGATCGCCCTACGCCAGATGCCTCCCCACGAACAGAGAGCGAACTGCCTCCCCGCCCACCATCGCCACCGGCGAAAACAGTATCTCCAGAACCAGCGCCTGCTGCCGTTAATCCAGAGGAGATGGCTCAGTTGGAGAAAGTCTTACAGTCGGATGTATGTGGACCAGATCCGAGATCCTTGTTTTTCGCGCACAGTATATACCGTGAGATTTTGAAGCTGCTGAGAACATGATAGCTAACTACTCATGGCCTACTTAAAAAAAACAAAAAAACAGATTGGAGTTTCGATTCTATTAACTAGATTGAAACAAACCATTGCATCCACTAAAGTTCGTCACGACAGCCCCAATACCCTTCCTCTTCATACCCCAATCCGTCGAACCCTCCCAATGACCAGTTGATTTCAAACAATTCCAGGACTTCTCGAGTTTCCTACGCAAGCGATCTGTCATCGAAGAAGAACATGCGCAAGGCCTCAAAAAGCTTGCTCGCTCTGTCCATGACTCGGCCCAGCGCATCGATAATCGCCAAGGCACTCTCTCAGTCAGCTGCGATGAGATAAACCGTATCCACGACCGCATGGCCGACCATGGCCTCCAATTTGCGCTCTCCCTTCAGCAGATGTCGGATGACCTGAATGAGCTGGCTGCGAACCTAGAGCGGGGCCGGAAGCACTGGAAGCAGAACGGGCTGAATGCGGAAAAGCGCGTGCAGGATGCGGAGAACATGGCGGAGAAGGCGAAAGCGAAATACAACTCTCTCGCCGAACAGTATGACCGCGCTCGGACCGGCGACGCTCAGCATGGTAAATTTGGCTTGAAGGGGCCCAAGTCTGCGGCGCAGCATGAGCAGGATCTGTTGCGCAAGGTCCAGAATTCGGATTCGGAATATGCGTCCAAGGTCCAGGCGGTGCAGGGTATGAAGAATGAGCTGATCTCGAACCTGCGGCCGCAGGCCGTGCGCGCGCTGCAGGATTTGGTGGCTGAGGGAGATTCTGGGCTTAGCCTTCAGGTGCAGAAATTCGGTATGAATGAATTATTTTTTATTCCTTAAAAGAGCGACATGCGGTGGTATGGCATTTTTGGCGACTGACGTTATTTTTAGCTACATTCACCGAGAAACTTCTGCTTGGGAATGGTCTTTGCGTGAGCCCATTGAAGAACGGCGTCAATGCCAATGCCGCTGGGTTTAAGAGCCTGCGGGAAGTTGCGTCTGAAGTTGATGACGAGAAGGATTTTAAGAGCTTCGTCTTGAGCCATGCGTCCAAGATTGGCTCAGGATCTACTGAGATCAAATATGAGAAGCACCCAGTCCGTTACTAATATCAAAATCATTCTGTTTAATTTTATCTGACATGCATTCTAGACACTCGCGACCCCTCCTCCGCAACCAGCCCCTATACAAACTGTAAACCAACCCAGCCCCGCACCTCTCCCCCAGGCTCCTCCGCAACTATCAGGACCTCCGTTCAACTCCACCCCCCCTCAATCTGCAACCTCACCGGTCCATCATCAGCACTCGCCACACTCCTACCAACAACCGTCGCAGCAGCAGCCGTATCAACCACCATATCAGCTACCACCTCCGCAACAGGATCCATATGGCATGCACGAGCAAGCACCAGGACAAATGCCACCGCAACAGCCACAGCGGCAGCCGTATCCACCGCCTGGGCCCGGTCCAGCCCACATGCCGACCCAATACCGGCCCTATTCACCGGTCCAGCAACAGCAACCTCCTCCAGAAACCCTGTCAGCAGCTAGGAACGGGTTCGGCGCAGATACATCACGTGAGCCGCAGGAGCCTGACCCTGGGCCTGGCCCTGTATTTGGCCAGTCTCTGGAAGCTCTGTTCCTTAGAGATCAAACCGCCATTCCTATGATCGTGTACCAGTGTATCCAGGCCATCGAGCTTTTCGGGCTCAATGTTGAGGGTATCTATCGTCTCTCTGGCAATGCTAGTCACATTGCGCATCTGAAGGCTCTGTTTGATCATAGTATGCAAGGATCCTTCTCTCTCCCTTCGCCCTCCCCTTCCATTTTTCTTACGAAAAAAACGTTGATTAACTCGTTACCCTGACTGAAAAAAATACTTTAGACTTCAAACTAGTCGATTTCACAAACCCGGAGAACTTCTTCCATGACATCAACAGCGTAGCTGGGCTCCTGAAGCAGTTCTTCAGAGAGCTTCCTGATCCGTTGCTCATGAATAAGTATTATGCGGATTTCATCAATGCTGCACGTAAGTGATGTGATGCGAATCATATCCTTCGTATACATGTATCGTTCGTACTAAACATGTCATCGATGGGAAAATATATAGGTATCGATGACGATTACCAGCGCTGCCTTGCATTGCATGCGGCTGTTAACAATCTCCCGGATGCACACTATGCGACCCTCCGGGCGTTGATATTGGTTAGTATCCTTTTGCACTCGTGTTTCCATCTCTATATAGTTTAACGTAGTGTTATATTGTGCTAACTAAAAATTTGTCATAACCAGCATCTCAGCCACGTCCACAGACGATCTGACGAGAATCGAATGAATGCAGGCAACATCGCTATTAGCTTTGGGTGAGTTGCCCCCCTAGTTTGCTATTACTTCTACATAGCTTGAAAATGCGCGTAATAATACAGCGTACTAATTCGGATACTTTATTTTAGTCTCACCCTGATGGGTTCGAATGCCGGACACAACGTTGCAGATTCCGGTTGGCAAGCACGTGTTATAGAGGGCATTCTGCTGAATGCGGACACAATTTTCCACACGGAATAAAACAAGTGGCGCGTGCACCGTTCCTGTCCTCTATATTTAGCCTCCCTTCCTGCTTGTTTTCGGTTTTCCGCATGCCAAGATTCCCTGGGATTTCTTATCCTTAATATTACTAGTTATTTATCATGTACCGATCATATCTCTTTTCTGCTTCTTCACCCCTATTCGGCGATATATATACTACACTACTTTTAGCCTATTTATTTTTCCATCTCACTATAGCAAGATACGTAGGTGTAGTATTTAGCTACATATTTATCCTGAGTTAACTATCCTCTAACTATTCACTTCACTCATCTGGCAACTCAATCGCCGAGTCGTGCTGCCTCCACGTGATATCCCGACAGTGCCAAGCCCGACGGACGGCCGGCCTTCACCGAACGGCAAGCGATGACATAATTATTAATACTGAGGGCTCGAATTTAGCCGCAACCCGCTTTCTGGTGGGACGAAAAAAATCTTCTTATCCCCCTCAGTCTGAGTTGTTCTTCCCCCTTTGCTTTTCTTCCTTCATTAGCTTTGTTTTATACTCTCCATGAATCCTGTCGGTTTATCACACACCCATACCGATAATTGTTGAGCCTTTGACGTTGTCTATCAACGGAGCTCTTCCTCTGCATCCTAAAAGAGTTTCCAGCGACTGAACAGTCTAGATTATGGGCAAACCGTCTTTCCAGGCATCAAATGCCTTGATCTATTTGACTCTGGGAGCTTTCCTGTATAGCCTCACTCTCAGATACCCATGTACTCCCTCCGTGTAAAAAAGATGAGTTGGAGGCTAACGCTCTCGCCTTTTCGCACAGCTGTCTCGGTCTCTTCATCGCATACCGACTTCGAAAGCAAACCACAAAAGATTTCATGTCTAGCAATGGCACACAGAAGGGTTAGAAAAAGCAAAATAAATCCTCATTACTACTTGCCATTAATTATTTACCTATATACCTCGCCTTTTTCTTCCTGTCGGGGGTTTTTTTATAGTCCTCCACTCTCTGCTCTGCTCCGCTCCATACCCCACCCCTGCCCTTTTGTTCCTCCGTCTCCTCTTTTTTTGTTGACTACTAATATATTTTCTGGTTAAACAAACATAGCAATCCCGCTTGCCCTGAACTTTATCGCGTCCGGTGAGTTGCACAGACAATGCGCTGTTGCGCCTCAATTGCTTTCTCCTTTATGAGAAGCGGCAGCAAGATAAAAATTGCTAGAGGTAATATAACCATGGTCGTGACAAAGCTGGCGCTTGCGGAAACGAAAAAAAAAAAAAAACCAACCCATATCAAACGCAAGGTTCTGTCTTTGATACCATATTATTTGCCTCAATGTCCCAGCTTCATGGATTAAGCGCTGCATGAAGTCTACCGGACAAGAGCTGAACGGATGTGGAGGGAGACGACGGAATTTATATGGATACGGATTTCGTTGATATTTTTGTCGCAGCATAGACAAGGTTCGTATTCGAGCGTTCAGTTCAGTGGGTGCTGTTCTGGGCTTGCGAGCCAGGCGGAAACAGGGAAGGGAGATATGGAAGTCATTTTACGTCCGTATATGCCATGTCGCATCGACCTGCCTGCAGGTTTCTCTATATCACAGATATATTTAACTGCTTTCCCTTTCCTCCAGAACGGTAGGTCCAGAGCAGCATCTGCTGCGGCTTCACTACGGGCGCTGATTGCGGCATTGGAACACTTGGTAATCCACCTCCGGGGACAATGGCTTCCTTCAAACTTGCTGTTGTTTATTCAAACTCCTAGAGAGATTATCGGGTATACGATGCAGGCATGATGCTGAGATTGTACCGTTGAACACTCGACCAAGTTAATGCTTGCGTGGGAAACGTGCTGCCGCTTCTCCCCCCTATCCCCCTCTCCCTCCCTTTTACTCGTGTTAAAATTATGTGGATAAGCTAACTGTAGGAATCCTCTGTCGTTTTCTTTTCTCTTCTACCTTTACAGGTCTTGGATCAGGAATTTTATTTACATATCCTGAAATTGCAACTATTGCCGGTGTCCAGGGTCTAATTGTCTATGGGTTGGCTTCGTCACTGCCTCTGCTGGTTTTTGGATATTTGGGCCCGATCATTCGCCGAAAGTGCCCAGAAGGCTTTGTCCTGACTGAATGGGCCAGGCAGAGATATGGGATTGTCGCTGCGACATACCTTAGCTTACTGACGTACGTGTCTACCTCCGTTCCCCATTTTTTGCTCTAACTTGAATGGAAAATCTAAAACTTTTTCTTACGGGCAGATTGATTACATTGTTCCTGTACATGGTTGCGGAACTCTCCGCCCTCCAACAGATTATCACTGCGCTTACAGGACTCGACGGATTGCCTGTGGTGATCGTTGAGGTTGCCGTGACAACAATCTACACCTCCCTAGGCGGCTTCAAAGTATCTTTCGTCACCGACAATCTCCAAGGAGCAATGGTTGTGGGTCTTATCATCATTGCCGTCATCACTGTCGGCACAGAGGTTAATATCGACCGCGCCCTTGTCGAGTCATCTGGCTTCTTGGAACCGTCTCTCCTCGGCTGGCAGTTGATCTACATTCTCCCCATAGCCATCCTGACAAACGATTTCTTCCTATCGAACTTCTGGCTGCGGACTTTCGCCTCCAAAACTGATCGTGATCTGCGCATCGGTGTATCTATTGCCAGCGGCGCTATATTCTGCATCCTCACTTTAGTCGGTGTTTCAGGTTTGCTCGCTGCATGGTCTGGCGCATGGCCAGGTGATCCACCGCAATTGGGCTCGATTGCCTTCTTCTTGCTCCTTGAAAAGCTCCCGGCCTGGGTCGTCGGTATCGTGCTCGTCATGACTGTCTCTCTCAGCACTGCCGCCTTTGACAGCCTGCAGTCCGCAATGGTCAGCACGGGTAGTAACGACCTCTTCCGCAACCGTCTACCGCTGATATACGTGCGCATCCTCGTTGTCTTGTGTATCATCCCCGTGATAGTTGTGGCGCTCATGTCTCCCAGCGTGCTGCAGATTTTCTTGATCTCAGATCTCGTATCTGCATCCTCGATTCCCGTGCTGGTTTTCGGCCTGTGGGATAAAGTCTACTGGTGGACGGGGTTCGAGGTCGTTGTCGGAGGGCTGGGCGGTATCTTTTCCGTCTTCATTTTCGGAACTATTTACTATGGCGACGCGCATGCTGGCGCCAAGCTGATTCTTTTGGAAAACGGCCTTTACGCTAAAGATTGGAGTGTTTTTGGTATGTTTGCATCCCTCGCCCAATATATTCTTCGGTCAATTGCCTATATATTGTATCATCAATGTTTAAAATCCAGTTGCTGATGCCTCCTACAGGTGCATTCCTCGCCGCCCCGCTCGGGGGTATCCTATTCGCCATCGCTGCGCTTATCCTCCGACTGGGCTACCACTACCTCTTGGCCAAATCCCAACATCGCAGATTCGATGCATTGGACAAGCCAGTGCCACCCCCTCAACCTTCCCGCCCCTATTCATCCGAGGAGGGAATACCCAATATTGAGTCTGGTGTCGGAGGCCCCTCGCTGTCTCCAAATAAGGATGTAGAGGAGGGACCTATCGCCTCTGACGATAGTCATACACCGTCTCTACGGGAGCGGGTGGCCAGTAAGTGGTTGAAGATGTGATGAAAATAAACTCACGTCGGTAATTTCCAGCTCATAAGGGTCCCGCGTGTGTGTTTTTTGTTCTTGGCTGCCACAACTTGAACTAAAAATACTGAAAGAAAACTAATAAAAAAGGGCTGTCTACCGGACACGAATAGCCGGAGGATATTTGTTTCCAGGTCGCGCTCACGAGTGTACCCACCAGTGCGCCTTCTTAGATTGATTATATACATTTCCCATTTTGTTCACTATATATTTTATCGCATATCTTTCGTCACCTACACTGTTCTGCATATACACACATTGGGTGGGCAAAATGGGAGGCCCTCGTTATATCTGTCACTTTCGAAAAATCATACGTTTTGTTTTGTTCTAGTTGGGAGGCTGGCTTTGTGATGGGAGAAGGAGGATTTTGAGGATTAATTGCATTTTTATTATTTTCCCGGAGTGGAGTTTTGCGGAGAACTAGATCAGATCATGTAACTATTAATCGCCGTCCGTGTGGGTGTATACTCCGTATAGAGAGATACATAACTAGATATGCTCAATAAACAGTCTCCGTTGGCTTTTTATTCTTGAATGTTTGAAATTCTGTTTCATTGCACTGTTTCTTATAGTGGAGAATCAAGGCAGGATCTATTTATTTAATTTATAATACTCCGAACATACACAAAAATGATATATAGAGGAATAACGATGATAACAACCACCAGCTCAACAATGGTTTTGGCTATTTTACAAAATACCAGAGATGTCAAGAACACCCGCACCAGCTCACATTAGAGCAAATCGAGAACCAAAAAAATGGCAAAATTTGCAAAATAAAAGAAAAGAATATCCTACAGAGCGAAGATATTAACCCTCTCTTGACCCCTGAGCCCACAATAATATGGCATCCTTCCCCTCCTCTCCCTTCCCACCATCACGAAGAAACCCTACACTCCCTCAAAACTTCGCTCCAGACATAAGCTCCAACCGATCCTTCAATGACAACCCCTTCGCAAACGCCGGATTCGTCTCCATATCCTCCATCGTCGACTCATTCACAAACCCCCATACCTTCCAGTCCCCCTCCTTGCCCGCAACCAGCATCTTCTGCAACACAATATACTCTGTGGAAGTCTGGCTCTTCGCTTCCCCTGCGGCAGCTTGCGGCAGGGTTCTCTTGGCCTCGTTCGGGCTTTCGGCAGCGGGGGGTTGGGGACGGACCAGAGACTGGCGGCTCTGGATGCGCACGACGACCTGGCGAATACCGACACCGTGAGCCACCTGTGCAGCGCGGTCGGCGATGACGCGCGACCCGGTCAGGGTCGTTGAGAAGGGGAATTTTATGAATTTGTGCAGTGTCCAGACGAGCTTTTTGGCTTGTGGGGGCCGTTTGGAGATTCGCTTTAGAAATTGATCACGGAGGCTGTCGCAGCAGATGTTGTCGAGGGTTGCGGTGTCGGCGCTGGGGAACTTTTAGTTAGCCGCGTATTTATTTTATTTTATTTTATTCTTTTTTTAATTTTTTAATTTTATTTATTTTAATTTTTTTAATTATTTATTTTGCAAAACAATGTAGAAGTATGAGAGAAACTCACGCTGCGTAAGCTGTGTACATGGTTTTATAGAGGTCGCGGGCGGCGCGTTTTCTCTCGCGGAGGCGGAGAGGAAGCTTGTTTTTTGCATTGAGGTATTTGCAATAGGCTAAAACGCTGGATTGCGGTGGTTTAAATGCGGGCACAATTGCGCCGGGAGAACTCGTCAGCTGGGTTAAATCCTGGCAGTCAAAGTAACGAATATTGTGGAGACCCTGCCCCATTTTCCAAGGGAGGTATAGCCGGGAGAAATATAAAAATGTCAACCAACTCACCCAACAAAATCCTGAAACTTCGCCCTCAGCGATACCCACTCCATCCACAGCCGCTCTTTTGGATACCTGAATATGGACGGCATATTCCTCCACAGAGGCCGGATAAAGGTGCCCGGCAAAAGCCCCATATCATCGGGAATGGACCCGTCCCTCATCGATCTCAGGGCCTCCTTCATCTGGTTTTTCGAGCTCATTGTCGCTTCTGCTTGTGGCCGCAATATCTGCGCGTTTCTCATAGAGGCCTCCCGCTGTGTAGTGTGGGAGAAGGGCCGGCATGATAGAAGGAGATATCGCGAGGATAACGGTGAAGAGGGGAATGATTGTAGGGAGGACCAGAGGTGGATATAAGGAGACGTGGTGGTGGTTCGGAGGGGGAGAGAAGAAAGGGCGTAGGAGCGGGGAGCGAGGGAGGATGCCATTGCAATTACAGAGCCCACCCGGGGGTGATTTAATGTAATAGTGGACGCAAGTTGAGAGCGGAGGTGCCCGCTGAGCGGCACTGGCGACGGGTGCTGGGAAGAATTGGGTCGTGAAGCCCTGGTAATTCGTCGCTTGCTGGAGATGTTTTACTCCGATCTGTTTCGGACTTTTTTTTAACCTCGAAATCGGCAGAAAAATTGATTGTTGTATTGGGATTAGCGGTAACTAACTAGTTAACTAGGTTTAGTCAGAAATTACGTTATCACAGACCTTGCAACAACGCCGACATCTTCCATCTTGCCCAACTTTCTATGTAACAGAGTCAAAATATTTTCTTGTTCTATTTCTTTTGTTCGTCCAGTCACCAATCATCCCTAGCAGTTTCTGGGATTTGCCATAAAGCAATTCCTTTTGCTGCCCGTGCCCAAAATTTAGCTGCAGCAGTCATACTGCAGGTTCTCGAGCCCCCAACATCATGCTTGGGTGGGGAACGCGGGAGGATACTTGCCCATCATTTAACGTGGTAAAACTGGAGGTGCTTCATGTTTAGAGAGGTCAAGTACGTCTTGAAAAAACCTTTCTAAAAGCATGCTCCTTAATTTCAATGAAGTTGTTGTAGCTGCTTGAAATGCACAACCATGACATTGTTCAGTCAGACGATGGAAAATACTCCTTTGAGGCCAATAATTCCATGAATTGCTTTGAGAGATCAACCCCGATAACATCTCGCTGAACCAGGACACATTTAAAGTGATGGTATTATTTTGATAATCGATGCATTGATATCAGGTCGGGTGATTATTATCATTCATACGCCTCCAAAAATAGTTGTCGCCTACCAAACAGGTACGAGAAGATACGAAAGGAGAAGTTCGCAGAGAGTAGAAGACAACGGCCTTTTACCTGATGAGGGCTAGTGGATATGGTTTCTCTTTCGGTATTTTCCATATGCTCTGGGGATTGGGGGAGGGGATACCAGAAACAGTGATTTAATGGTGATATAAATCATGTAAAATTAGTGACTATGATCATCGCCTCTTCCCAGATATATGCTATAGATCTCTGCTGATATGTATATTTGAATATATTATATTAGCTAAAAGTAGGTATGTATACATAGCTACCACCAAGATCACTAGGACATGCTTGTCGGACATTACTCAACGAACAAGGGTCCAAAAAAACTCACATTTATACGTATACAAAATTCGCAAAACGCACCCATTATTTAATAAAAACATTTATCATCCCATCCTCCGAAACGGATGCGCCTCCGTATTCAACACATATTCATCTAAACTAATCAAACTAGGGTCACTGAACATCAAATAGAAATACTTCAGCGTCTCCGCCAGCCAGAAGCTCTCCATTCGGTTTGACAACGGCGCGTTACCAGCCGTTCCCCTAGGGACCGTAACGTCATTCAGCGCTGCGTTCCCAAAGGGCGCCTTCGTCATCTCCTCAATGGCCGTGAACATGTCCCATGCCGTATCAAGCAGTTCTGTCCGGCCTGTAATGCGATATAAGATGAAGACACTCTCGATGGCCTCCGGGCGAAGGATATAGCGTCTATCCTCTATAGATCTGATACCCTTGGGGAGGCGTTCGCGAGCAATGATGGCTTCTGCGCTGTTGTCCTTGTACCATTGTTTGTCGCCATCGGGCGAGAAAATGGATCTGGCATGTGCGGTGACTACTGCCTCCTTGTACCTGCTCTCGTCCCACATGCAGGGTCCGTTGGCCGGGCATGGAACCATGTGGAACACCTCGGGCATCATCCCTGACGGGGTCGCTTTGTATGTCCAGATACAACCGTCCGTAAGTTTCCGCGCGATATCCATATGGGAGGGGATATCGAACAACCTGGACCCCAGCGCGAACATGCCACCGGCGAAGCAAACAAGATGTTGGCCTTCGGCATCCAGCTCGACGCCTCCGTCGTCACGCGTAGTCACCTTGCCGGAAATGAGTATATCTGCATTATCGGGCACCATGGGTCTATAAAGAATATGTTTGGCCACCACAGCCATGGCATCCCTGTACATTCGCTCATACTTATCATCCACGCCGCCCAGCAGCGCGTGCATCTTTGGCATGTACTCGTAAAGGGAGTCTGCGATCGCGCCCAGCGTAAAGGTATGCACTTTCCCTTCGAAATTTTGCGTGCGTGCATCGAGAACCAGAGGCCACATCCCCGGAAGCTTCGTCTTGCTCTGCTTCTCTTCAAACATTTTCATAATTCGATGCACGGCATCGTACCATTTGGGGTCCTTGGTGAGTTGTGACAGGCGCGTGAATTCCATGGTCAGGGAGCCGATCTCGGCAAGAAGACAGAAGCGGGAGGCTTCCTGCTCGAGTCCCAGGAACGCGGAATGGATTTTCCAGCGGGTAACGGGCATGCGGTTTGGAGTGTCAAAGGCGGCGTAGAGAATGTTTCCCAGCTCCGTGGCCTTGGTAAGAAGGACATGTTCTCCACTCAGGTCATAGGCTGATAAGAGACCACCCAGGTAGCGGATTGTTGTTTCAAAGACATTGATTTCCTTAGATTCAGTGGTAGTGAAGTCGATATTGGCAACAGCGCGTACAGCCTCGTGGAATTCGTCCTTCAGGCCCATGATCCATAGGGTGTCAAGACTGTCAACCAGGGTGGCTGCCCATCCACCAAAAGTGTCATAGGATCCTTTTGTAAGCGGAGTAACTTCGTCGCGCATCCATGCGTAACTCCTATACGCATTCCACGCGCGAATAAATGACTGTTTGACAGCTTCTTGTCGGGGTATTTGCTTCGATAGAACTTCTTTGAAACCTTTGTCGGAGAACACATGCTGAACTCTGGGCAGCCTTTTTACCGGGTCCGACGGTAGCGGCACAAATGATTTCACTGGGTATTTTTCTTTGAAGTTCTTCCAATCGAATGAGAATCCTTTCGGCAGCTTTGGATAATTTGGATTTGGGGCGAAGGCATCTGGCCCGCTTCTGTGATAAAGAAATAGGAGGGTGGCTGATAGAAGAACGTAAATTAACCATCTGCCTCTGAATGAAATCATGATCGCTTCGCCTAGCTTCGATTGCTGCGCAGTTCAACTAGCTAGCGATTAGTTATAGTAAGACAGGATTCATTTGACTTGCTGCACAGAGTTAAGGTTTGAAGAGTGAAGATTCGGAAACTTTGGTGACGATGAAGGCGAGTACACTTAGCCGGAGAGATGATGATTGTATGGCATCCAATTTGGAGACTTCAAGACTCAGTCTGTTGCGCACTAACAAGACATACATTTATTGTTGCTTGATGCTTATGTCTGTGATTTCTGAGAGGGGATAGCTTCAAGATTCCGGCTGCGGGGATTTGAGATAAATAATTATACTCCAGACATACATAAATATCCAGGTTTGCTATGGGGATTGTTTCAACCCCATTTGATATTATTATTGGTTCATGGAGTACAGTTAACCTGGGAATATCTTAGGCGCCGAAAACAAGCCCTTGGCGCCATATTGCCCCTAAAGCAGGGGGCTTGTTTAACGAAACCCGGACCTAAACTATAGGTACTTCTTATTAAAGCCATCCGCCACGACAAAGGGATATTATTTAACTAAATAAACTACCTCGTGTCCTCTCTCCTCTCATCATTGCTTCCATTTACAACACTCATCCAGCAAAACAATTGCAAACAATTCTTGTTCCCGTCAGCAGGATAACTACCAGATTCACATCTCCTTCAAACTGTCCTATATAAAACTTCCCCCTGAGTGCCTGCGGCTGCAATAGTCGTCAACTCAAAAGACTGGCGTCTTCCTCCGCGAGCTACAAACCCACCCCTCCCTCTCCTCGCCATGCCCTCCCTCCCCAGTCCCAGCCTCGATTCCGCAATGCTCTAAGGTCATACCGCGCTCGTCCCCCAGCCTCGAACGATCCTCCACCTCTATTTGCGTCCTCGGATGATTATTCCTCCCCATCCACGGTGCCGTGCCCGCCGCCGTCTCCAGGTACACCCGCTTCCGAACCCCGGGATATATTATCCTCTCTCCATCCTCGAGTTGCAGTGATTCTGGGCGTTGACCGCCGCTGGTATATTCCTTTACTGCTTTGTCGGGGCCTCAGCATCCTTCCGGCAGCATGGTGGGGCTTACGTTGTGCCTTCACGTTCTTAGCAGAGCTACTGCGGATCAGGCCTCAATTTTGGCATGAAGGATGGACAGCAGCTATTGTGAGAGGAGCCGCGGCTGATTGGGACGTGGAGAGACGGTTCAGGGTTACGGAAGTGGCATTGGCTATTATTTGGGTATTTTCCTGCTCTGTCCTTTATTTGCGGCCCATTCTCATAGGAACCCGTGTTTACAAGGCGAAAAGGGAGATTTAAAGGACGTACATACAAGAAGTATAAACTGATTTCTAACCTAATTCCCGGTTTGTAGTGTTCGGCGTCAGCATATTTATTTTACTTTTTTACAGATTGTATGATGTCTAGATGGTAAGCTGTCCCCAGATTCCCTCCAGATATTTCTTTACAACGGACAAAGCCATATCGAATCCTCAAACTAACACGGAAACCCAAAGGCTACTTAATTATACCCCCGCTGCAGTTGTCATTCGACTTTTGGCTACGAATGGTCTTCTTGCATACCTCACGTCGTGGATCCTCTATTTATCTGGCGCTTCCTCAGATCCTCGCCTCCTCCTTCCAGCATGGATATCAATTGCATCGGTTCGTTCCACCACCACCACCACCAAAAACATCTCATTCATATACGCTTCATGAGGACACTACTCTAGCCATTTGATATCTGATTTCCCCCCGCTCTGAAAAACAGGTCCTCTCTTTCGTTTACCACATCACCCAACGCCAAATTAACATAAAAAAAGAAACATTTGCGACGATCTACGTTTTCTCAATTGCCAGTTTCCTGAGTATGTGCTCCTTGCTTCTGCAGCTGCATCTTACACGCGAAAATGAGCCTGAAGTCCCGTTATTCGTTATGGGGAAGATAATCTTGGAGTTTGGCGCGCAGAAGATTGCTGAGTATGGAGTTGGAGGCGAGGTATCTGATGGATAGGAAGAGGAGATGACGCTTCCTGACTCCCCCCTTTTTATTCTTTCTTTCCGTTTCGTTTCTTTCTCGAGGTTGATATGGGCGGTTTGATACATCTATTTTCTTTTCTGGCAACAAGAGCGATTGTGCATGAATAACATTTCCTTGCTTTGTTTCCATTTGGTTTTTTATTCTTCTAAGCCATCTTCTTCTTACCTCTCATGCAACAATTCACCGTTTAGACTTTTTTGATGAGAAAATTAATTGACGCTCTCACTGGCGATGCGCAAAACGACTACCTAGGCACTGACTCCGTACATTACATCTTTTGAGATAGCCTCAACCTTTCTCTCTTTTACTACATGCTTCGTTTTTAAATTATTTCCCTAATTAGGAGGATATCAAGGGGGACCATGTACACGTACTACTTCATCGACATTCCATATCATTCACGCCATCCATCCTGCTTGATTATTCCAGTTTGCAATTCAAACTTACAGACTCAACAGCCAGTTCTATCCGGCAAAACCTGAAAATAGTAATAGACGGAAAGTTGCTTTTGCCTATTATTAGCCAGAAGACATAAATAATCATACTTTCCACCCCTGAGTAGATGGATGATTTATTATTCACCGCGGCCCTTCAAATATATTATCTTTTGATGCGCCGGAAAAATCCAGAAGCAAATATTTATTCAGAGAAAAGAGAAACAAACAATGAAACCAATAACTTCTTAGGGAGATACCCGCGTGAATGTTTCATGAAGTAAGCCTGGCAAGCGGTGCTAAGCTTACTGTGTAAACTTTGACAAAAAAAGAAGAGTTAAAAGACTTTTAAAAATAACAACAATACGAGTCAGATGCGGAACAGACAGCGTCAAGTGGACACGGCCACCCAACGTAGATTAAGGACGGACCGTATGTATGTACATGTACGTTGGACCATACGGCACGGAATTACAAGCAATTCACAGATTACGACGCCTGGCTCAAACAAGTTCAGACTTCACCCAAGTTTTCTCATTCTCCTACTTCAAAAAGCAAACTGTTGATTCATTCCTCTGGTTCTTTATTAACGACTAAAGGAAAAGTAACAAAGTCATGAAACAGGAAACAATTTCCACATCGTCATTACCATGCCGCCATTCGACCTATTTAAAAGAGCAACCGCAGGAAGAAACAAACATTAAAAATTAAAAAAATCATTTTCCAGATCATGGGGTATCTCATCAACGCCTTGTCCCGTCAACGTCCCGTCTACTCGAATTTAAAAAGGGGGGGCGGGGCGCCAGCTTCCCTTCAATTGTGGTGGATAGCGTTCTTGTTCTAAGAATCACACAGCTGGGCGAGGTTGAAACCGACCGAGTTCCGTTTTATATCCTATCCAGACCACTCCAATCGCAGGACAAAGTTCTCCAAAAAAGTTTCCGTTAAACCGGCAAGAAGCAATCCGTAGATATATACCGGATAAAGGGCATTTTCTCTAAGAGAGAAGAATGACCCCTTCCCAGCCAGTAGACAAAGGCGACCGCACGACATGGCTTCTATCGATCCTCTGGAGTGGACTGGGAAGACGAAACGGGACGGGCGTGATGAGGTTGACTTAGAACCCATGGACCTTTATGGTCTTGGCGTCGAGTTCGAGCCCTTCCTTCTTATCGACCAAAAATTCTTGGACATCCTTGCGCTGATCCCCTTGGAGCTGGATCACCTCGCCCATCTCACTGTCGTTGACGATGGTGCCATTGCAAGCTGCGAAATAAATTAGTATAAAATATAAGATCAGGGTAAACCAAATGGTAGACAGCAAAAAGCATACCGAACTTCTTCTTAATGACCTTGAGGATCTTCTTCTGGTCGAACTTCTTAGGGAGACCTTGAACAGTTGTCAGGGTCTTACGACCATTGCGCTCTGCGAGAATATGTCAGTTTTCAATCTATGTGGCGATAGAGACAGAAGAAAAAAAAAGGAGAAGATACGTTGGATCCGTATATGGATATAATTTTGGGATTGTTTTGTATCGCCGGTGTCTTCGTCAGCTTCGGCGAAGGGGTCTGTCGCAACACGTGCCCAGTTAGCCAGCTAGCCCTCTTTCAGTTTTGTTTTGCAGGCTCAGCCGCGACATCACACAAAAACAAGCCAGACCCATCGCGGCTACCCCGCTATTCTCCAACGGGGAAGCCATCAAGAGATCCATCCGTCTCCCCAAACAACCACAACAGACAGCAGCAACAGAGATAGCAAAATACCTGATTCTCTGTGATGTGGCTGGTGTAGCGGAGAGTCTTGGCTGGTTTGTTTTAAGGGTGGGCAGAAAAGAAAGGAGGCAAAAATCCAAGGTGGCGTGGCAAACTTACCGAAGGTCTTGAGGTTTTCGATTGACATAAACCCGTTGTTTGTCGCGACGGACTTAAAAAGGTGTGTAGTAAGGGAGTAAGGATAGTTTAGGTTGATAAAGAGTGCTTTTGAAGAGAGGAGATCTGTGACGAGCAGTGGTTGTGTATCCTCGCTGGTCAGTAAGAGAGAGTCGTCGTTGGTGGAATAAGGAGGAAGAAGAACGGCGGAGGCAGAAGAAAGACGGCAGATTTAAGCGGGAGGGGGCGAGGCGTGACTCAGCGCTGACTCAGCGCGGCGGTGAGAACCACTGGCCCGTTTCTGGGCTTGGCAGGTCACTCCTGTGTATTTCGCCATACTAATGAAGGTGTAAAGTTACATGATAGTGACTCCGGGGGGCAACTTCACGGCGGAGGCTGAGGTTCCAAGATCGGATTTTTTTCCCGATGCAGCTAATAATAAAATGTTGTACAGTTGTAAACACAAGAGAGGGAAGACCCGACAGGTGGAAGAAAAGCTGAGAAGAGCCGAGAAGAGCCATGCGCACATTCAACCAGTTGATGACAATACCGTAGTTGCCTGTGCCTGTTTATCTAGTTACCTTGGTACCCCCCAGCCTCACTCTTGCAGAACAAATCAAGTCAGATGTACGGGAGTACATATGCATGGGAAGCACCTGCTGATACGATACACGCATTCCTCATTATTTTCCCGTAACTTCTGTTATCTCGTTATCTCTCTGCGGCAGCTTGCTTCTTCAAATCTAGATACTTGGCCGCATAATCATTCGCCAGCACAAAATCCCCTGACAGATACATCACCGTCGCCTTCTTCGCCATCATCTCGCACTGGCCTTGCACATCCTCCACGTTTGAAAACTCCTCAAACGCACAGTCGATAAATTCCACTGCGCGCGCCATATGTTCCTTCTGTCGTACTTTGTCCCTCCCCTGGCTCTGCATTTGCACTTGGCCAGCCAGTCCCATGTCGGCGTCAGCTAATAGAGAATATGTGCGTGCCGTAAGATATGCATCTTCACACTCATGAACTTGAGGCACGATGCTCTCTAGAATCTCGAGAGCGGCTCCGAATTCTTTGAAGGTCATGAGTATCACAGAGAGCACCCCGATAGCCTCCCATAGACCAGGAAGATACCGTGATCGGTGGGCGACATTGGCTGCTCTCATTGCTAACGAGAAGCCTCTTTCCGGTTGGTTGGTCTGGTCAAAGATCCTTGCTTTTGCCACTAGTATTTTCACCTGGGTGGCAACGTCGAAGTTCTCCTGTCGCATGGACTGGGCATTTCGCTCGATTATTTCGAGCGCAGCTGTGTAATCGCCTTTTCGCATGAGGAAGTCAACCTCTAAAAGTGAGAGTGTCAAGACTAATTCTGCGTCTGGTGGAGAACAAGCACGTAGTTGGGGTATGAGGTGCTCTGCTGCCAGCTTATCATCCCTACCTAACGGTCAGCCAACCCTCTTTTCTCACAAAGGCGGGAAAATAATTACCTATGTAGTTGTCTTTGCAACTTCAGAAGCCCGCAAAAGAATGTCCAATTTTGTTGGTTCTTAAGAACTCGTAGCGAATCGGAAGATATCTCATTTAATCGGGCCATCGACTGGTCATAGCTCCCTTTAGCAGCCAACTTCACGCTGTTAGAATTTGAACGTCTTCGTATGCTCCGTGGCGAAAGTGCTACTAACCAGCATGCTACTCCGACATATTACCCGTAGGTGGTCTTCAAATGGAGCTTGCTTTGTGTAGCATTCTCGAAAGATCTCGCAATTAGACCATGCCAGATGTGTAACCCCTTCCGGTTTAAACCATTAGCAAATCCTGGTATGTCAAAACCAGAACGAACAAAACATCATTACCTATCCTAACATATGCCGACGCTTGCAGCATAAGCAGAGGTCCGACTGAATTAGATATATCCTTCGTTACATTGAGAAAAGAGGCTTTGACGATATGTTCAAATGCCGACGCCACACTCTCGCCCTGTAGTACTTGGCAGTGAGCAGGCTGTTAAAAACCAATGTTCCAAAAGTGGAGACCGGGTTGAGGCACATACATTCTGCAGCTCCAACTTTGCCTCACTAAGCAGTGATGTACCCAGCAGACCCCACATTTCCGTCTCTCTAGCCTTAGCCTGGAGAAACGCCAACCCTTCCTTCTCACTACCCAGCATGCCAGTACTCTGGATATCCTTCATTTCATCAGGAAAGGCTTTTCCAAAGTGGTAAAGCCAGCTCATGCAGAAATTGAGACAGCTCATGTCATGAGTTTCCCTGGCAATCGAAATGGCCTCCTGCATGGCTGAGACTGCCTCTGCATGGCAGCCAAAATCGGCTTGGAGAATGGCAAGATTGAGCAGGGCATATTGGTAGAAGGTTTTGTCACGGCTTTGCATAGTGTAGTCAAAATAGCGATGTAAATGATCAAAGGAAGAGGAATAATCTCCTGCTTTCCAGGAATCGAGGAATCTAATTATATTTGTGCGATTAGAGCAGATATCGTCGGTGAAATGGAGGGTGAAGTACTTACTTTATATAATGCTGCGAGCTTGGTACAGACACTCCAGACATCACCATCTGTTCCAGGCGCGATCTCATTTCGCCCGTAATCCTGCATCCGTTGCCTAGATTAAACAAATACATATCAGTGAACCGTACCACGGTTTAAGACTAACAAAAAAGAATGGGAGACGTAGAGCGAGTGCCATCATTTGAGGACAAGAAAAAAAGTCGTTACCTACCCTGCATCTCTCCAACCTGAAAATCCAACAACCGCTCAATATCCCTCGTGCTCATTCCCAATTCCGTATCTTTCCCTTCTTCTAGCGAGCCATATACCACCTTAGCAAGGGGACTCGTTAGATCTAGGCCAAGCTTAACTAGATTGACATCCACCGCGGCCTGGCTATCTAAAGGATTTCTCTTCGCCCACAGCTGATACGTTGGCAACCGATACTTGACTAGCCCTCTCCATAGCGCCACCGCATCGTGGAACTGAAGGCGAGTGTACTCAAGATACGCCCTTCGGACAAATACACCAAGCAGTGATGCGCGGGAGATAAGCATGTGCCCCGTCTCCGGCGCAATACCATTGTTCCGGTCATTGATCAGCTCCTCGCGCGTCTTCGTGAGCATGCTTGATATGCCTGCAAAGAACTCATCGAGGGCATCAGCGCAGTCGAGCTTCCATAGCTTTTTCAGCAGCAGGTCCCAGACGGTTCTACCCGGGATAGAGGAAGCTAGGGGTAATGTAGCAACCTCAAAGTCTTGGATGGAGATAGCATGGCTGTTTGCTTCGGTTGTTGTGTTGGTAGATGTGAGGCGTTGAGTGGAGGGTTGAAGAGGTAGTAGATGGGAGACAAGAAATGAGAGGACAGGAACGATGGCAGAATTGGGAACTACGCCTTCAGCATAGACGGACACAAGGGCCAGAAGAGTGATCTTGGAGGGGGTCAAATAACGAGTCATCTTGACTCTTTAATTGCAGGGGTTATCTTGCATAGGGAATTGGTTTTAAAAAAGGGGGTTGGCCATGGTTGAAAATCGCATCGACACGCCAGCTGGGGTACAGGAAGTTGAGAAAAGGAAAGGCGAATATTGGGTATCTGTGTTTTTTATATTTCCCTTGATGATTATCTATGTTGTGTTCAGAGCAGCGCTTCAATCCGTCTTTACCTGCTCCAAACTATATGAATCGTCGCGTCTGTTCCCATTCCCGCGCGTCAAAGAGCTCCGATGCCAAGCCCTGACTAATCCCGCCTTCTTGTTCCCCGCCATGACTATCAGATTTATATCTTTCCGCCCGCTATTAACCACCGATACCAACACATTAAAATACTCTAATTGGCTCATCCCGGTGCCTAATTAACCCTTATATATCCCTCCGCAACTATGACCGAACCAATGACCACCAGCAATTTGCAGGATATCCTTCCCCTCGTCGCGCGGGGTAAAGTGCGCGACCTATATGAGATCGACCCGCAAACCCTCCTCTTCGTAGCTACTGATCGCATCTCCGCCTACGACGTGATTATGGCAAATGTATACCATATACCCGAGACTCCAGTGATTTAGTGAAGAAAAAGCCTACCCCAAATCCATGGTTTACTAATATATATCTTCCTCAAATGCACCAGCCAATCCCGAACAAAGGCACCCTGCTCACCCTCTTGACAACCCACTGGTTCGAAATCCTTACCAACGCCATCCCCAGCCTACGCACGCATTTCATCACCCTCGACCTACCCTCACAGATTCCGGAATCTCTGCGACCATCTCTACGAAATCGCTGCATGCAAGTGCGCAAGCTAAAGGTATTCCCCATCGAAGCTATTGTACGGGGCTACATCACCGGTTCAGCCTGGAAAGAATATCAAACATCCGGCACGGTGCATGGCATAAAGGTGGCAGAGGGCTTGAAGGAGAGTCAGCGATTTCCCGGTGGACCCATATATACGCCCAGCACCAAGGCAGAGCAGGGGGAACATGATGAGAATATCCATCCAGATCAGGGTACTCCTTTCGCCGCCGCCCTTTCCTCCTCCGAAACTCAGCTAACAGGGTATAGCCATAACCATCCTCGGCCCCAAATACGCCTCCATAATCTCCTCCCTGGCCCTAAAACTCTATGAAACCGCCCACGCCCATGCACTCTCCCGCGGCCTCATCATCGCAGATACTAAATTTGAGTTCGGGCTCGACACAGAGAAGGACGAGGTCGTGTTGGTTGACGAGGTGCTGACGCCGGACTCGTCGCGGTTCTGGTCTGCGGAGAACTATGAGGTTGGGAAGTCACAGGAAAGCTTTGATAAACAGTTTTTACGTGATTGGTTGGTCAAGAGTGGGCTGAAGGGGAAGGATGGCGTGAGCATGGATGAAGCGGTGGTTAGGAGGACTGGGGAAAAGTATCGGGAGGCATATGAGAAGATTACGGGGAATACGTATGTGAGTTAGGGGATATATATCGGGAGATGTAAGGGATGATAGTGGGGGAATTTGGGGGCATGACACGTTCTCTGAAATTAAGGGAAGGGGTCATCATTCACGGAAGAAGATGGGATGCATGATAGATATGTTATGGGTAATGTTCTGACGACCTACTTTCGGTTCCGGGTGTATATTATATTGATTTTTTAAGAACGGAGGACCGACTCTAACAAATAGATAAATATTCTGTATAACTTCTTCCTAGCTCGATTCGAATCATAATAAGAAAACGCCAATATATGCCTGTAATTCAAATAGTAGCATGTGGAGTATGCCAATGTCGTCATAAATAATACACGCATGGGAGAAATCGAACAACCCTTCTCCCACCACGCCATAAACCAAGAAATTTCTCCCATGCCTCATATATACAAGCAACACCACGCCCTCTACCTCTGCCCCCTAACCCTCTTTGCTTGAACAATTCATTCACCACTGGTCCTCCCTCGTCTTCTTTTTTTGCTCCTCTAGCCCCTCCAGCCCCTCAAGCCCCTCCTTTTCCTCTTTCAACTCCTTCAACTTCCCCAACGCCGCCCCCTCCTGCTCAGCCATCGAAGGCCTCCCAATCCCTCCAGGCCCCCACTCTTTCCCCGTCATGTGCAACGCATTCGGCCCACAAATCTTCCTCTCCTCTTCCATCTCCTCTTCTGACAACCCATTGGTAGCCCATATGCGATGAATGCGCAAATCATAGGGACCCTGAACGCGATCCGTCAAGCCAATACCAACGGACTTGATGCGTTGCCGTATAATACTAGTCTGCGGCTCGACGGCGAAGCCAAGGTTTGTGCGCACAAAGTCATTCCAGCGAATTAGCACGGTTTCCCAGCCCGTGGAATCTGGGTTGGTTGTTGGCGATGTGGTGTGAGTGTATGTGTTGGAGGATGATGGGTGCTCGGGGGCAAAGTCTGCTAGAGCGGCAGGGACGACCTCGCCTTGTTCGGATGAGTAGGAGGTGGCATCTGCGGCGGAGGAGGAGGACTGTGGAATGCGGTGGTGGTTGGTGAATAGGCGATGTTGATGGATATCAGTATCGACAATAGAATCGGTTTGGATGTTTACTTTGTATCTGCGGCCGTCGGACTTGACACGGAGCGCGAGGTAGGTGTATGGGTCGACGTCCCAGTAGAGGCGGCCGAAAAGCCAGAGGCCCCGGTCTTGGTTGCGGAAGGCGGCGTAACCTGTGTGCACATAACATATATCAGCAAGCGTATATGCCAGCCGGCCTCGAGATGTTTAATGGCAACTCTCTCCGTAGATATAAGTAAATAAGTCTCATACCAGTCCTCTGGATCTTCCAATTCTGCGGCAACTTGGTGGAGATCGAGCCATGAAAGCGGGCATGTGCGGGGGTATTGGTAGCGGGATCCGCGGGGATATAGTCTAGATTTGCGGTGCTGTAACCACCAACAGCACGGTCGGACATCGTCTTGCAGCCCGCAATGGTGTTCTCGTCTGTGAAATCGAGGAGGTGGTAGGGTTTGTAGGGGACGGAGAGGGCTTCGAGGTTCCATGCTAATCGTCGAACACGAAGTGAGCAAACAGATGCGTTGAATGTAATGGTTCGATATCGGGTGATATGATGGAAGGTAGCATGGACTAGGATGCATTCCCCTTCAATCCATTGAACTTTTACATACCCATCTTCGTGAACCTGGCCAACTCCTCCGCGCTCCGTTTAATGAAACCGGGCCGCTGGGCGAGGCATTTTGCGGTGGGAATCATTGCTCCCTTCGATAATAGAATGGAATGTTTGTCAAAAGGTAGGAAACATAAATGCGAGATATACTGCCAATTGTAATGGGTATTAGGGTCTGAAGACAAGTCAGTATTGATACAGCATGGTTCAAGCATAACGGATAGATATCCAAAGCTGGAGATGAGATGACATCGGACTTTGGTCACGTGGACGGAGCTATCCCAGGTTGGTGGCAATAATTTATCTCAGCAAGCTCAGACGCTTCTCCAGATATTCATTGCTGTTTTAACACTGGATTGATGATTATGTCATGAGCTAACCTCAAATAAGCAATAAGCTAACCCAAATAGTAAAATCAGGTCATGTGAGTGATGATATCTTGCGAAGCGTCTGAGAAGAAACGGTTCCTGATTGTTAGCAACACAGGAAGGATTTGCTCAGTACCCTGAGTATGGAAGAGAATTCCAACTCAACTTCATAGATTCATCATTTCTGTATCACCTTGGAACCTTAGAATAACAATGTTCTCGCGATGTATCTGATTTTTATATTCATATCTCAAGTTCTTAGGATAGAAGTATCACCTCAAAGTTGACCAGTGTGTTTTTGAACACAGGAATTTTGATCCAATTCCTCATACAAAAAAAAGCTCTTAGAAATTCTGAGATCAAAAAATATGATCATTTTCAAGAGTATACATCTATCTTAAATATAGATTTTTTTGAAATATTAAAGAAATATTTCTATTCTTCTTCTCTTTAGCTATAAGCTAAGGTGATTTTCAAATCTCAAAGATATGTGAGTATATAGTAATAGAAAGTCAAAGTTGAAGAATCTGAAAAATCCTTGTAAATCTCAGGAATCTCCATTGAAGATGGAACCATTTCTTCTCAGACCCTCTGGCGAGGATTGCTCTGAGCACATGACTTGTATCAAAAGTAGGTTAGTGTCATGCCGGATTAACTAGTTAATAATAATGCTGCAACCCGTTCAAACCGAGCCAGAGGGTCTGAGCCCGCTGAGATAAGCAATAATGGAGATTGGATAATAATAGGAAGAATACTTATAGAAGAACTGAATAGCGCAAGGTTACAGATTGTGGGATCTCTCGTCACATTTGCTATAAATGTTGTATTATGCGATACTTATAGAGGAGAACAGGGTGGGAAAATAGCTGGGGAAAAAATGAACCGCGAACTCCTACAGAGTACTCAAATAGCATTCATGGATTTGAACCAACGGAACGCAAAAGTTCCCTTTTTAAATATATGTCCCTATGTACACGCATAATAACAAGAACAAGGCTGCCTTGAATCCTAGAAACGCTATGCTATGCTGCTTTATATAACAGAGGGGTAATATGCACGTAATGGATATATATGCATGTATGCTATACGAAAAAGGGACCAAAATACGGTAAGAGAGAAACCAGATAAAATAAGTGAAACGCACCCAAGGAATGAAGATGAAAGATGAAAAACAAAAGAGAAGAATGCCCTAGAAAAGTATGCCGCCCATGATAACAATAAAAATGCACAAATGCAATAGAAGGTATGGATGTACATAATCGTCCGTCCGTCTCGTCGTAAGAATATGCTGGACAAATGAAAAGGAGGAAAAGAACAAGAGAAAAGACAAAGTAGGTATGGGATAAGAAATGAGGGTCATAAATAAACCCAATAGAGAGGAGAGGGGAAAAACAAGGGGATAATGACACCACAATGTACCTAGGTATAGCTTCCTTGACGCCGCAAACTAAAGTTTTTCCAGCGCAAACCATAGCAGATGATCCCAGGAATGCCACGAATGCAGGGGAGAAAAGAGTGGCGCGGTCATCAACTATATATAAAAAGGGAAAATTTGGGGAATCATATTTAATACCCAAATACCCATATGCTCTTTTCCCATAACTACCCACATACACGCGAGTCCATATCTAGGTTCAGATCAACATTCGATCGCATCACGCAACATCACCCCTAATCCTCCTCGCCGCAAACCACCCCAAATTCACCGCCGTGTCATTAACCCCAATAACCGGTGCTGATTCCTCTAACATCTCCCACGGCCGTAGTGGATATGGCCCCGCAATCCGCCCCCGTTGCTGTACGCGCAACTTACCAACAATCGAATTTTGGTCGTCAAAGGGGTTGAACGTGGCAGCATTGTAGCTGTTACCGCCCTGGAATTGTTGAGAAGATTGGGAGGCTGCGGTAGCACCTACTGATGCTACTACTAAGGGCGTCGCGGGTGTACCAGGGGTTCCTGGATTTGCTTGAGATAGCGTGGAGCCTCCCGGCTGCTGCTGGGAGGATTGCGTGGTGGTCGGGGATGGCTGGTTGTCTGCTGCTAGAGGCCCAAGAAGAAAGAGGAGGCGCGGGTCGTTTTGTGGGTGTAGGAACGGAGGGCACCGGTCGCGGAGGAAACGGGCACATTGGTGGCGGTAATCATCTGGGATGGAGTCGAGGAGAGTTGCGGCAACATCTAAGGCTTGGATTTGTAGGGAGGTCGATATGCCAGTGTCAGTGACATGAAAAGGGAAGTGAGGTCGCGGTTCTTGCAACGGGGTGGTAAGCGTGAGAGGGCTGGTTGAGGGAAAAGGGCGTGGGCAGGCTGGGGCCTTGGGAGAGAGGGTCCTCGATAGGGCAATGCAGTTGATTGAGATTAGGAGACGGGTTTGGTCGGCCAGATCAGACTTTGATAGAGTGCCTGGGGCAAATCTGGACCTGTGGATGGCGATGAGGCGGAGCAAGACAGAAAACCAGAATGCGATTACAGAAGATTGCTGTACCACATGAGCCTGGCGGATGGCGGTGGCATGGTCGTTATCTTGACTGATATTGGCTTCCATCAGGTTATTTTCAAGGGTGGTAATTCTGTGCAAAATCATGTTCATTTTTTCGATAAGCGTAGGACAAAGTGACGGGCTACCAGTCTCCGGAATGCTGAATGATAGGTCCTCCACGATACGGAGACAGACGAGGGCAGACACATTAAAGCCCGGTGGCGTATTAGACTCAGATGTCGGACTGGTTGGTAGACTATCAGATGTGAGCACATGGGACAATAGTTGCTCCTCTGCTCGTTGGCGGATCTGCGATGAAAACGTTAGCCATCCAACTGTAATTCAAGAAGTAAAATGTAATTCAGATAGTGTGCTATTCACCTCTTTTGCTGCATCTGCATGTAAACTTCCCACAACATCAATCCAATGCGACTGGCCCTTGCGCATATTTGATTTAGCTGTTTCAAAAACCACGTCATAAATACGTTTCTTCACATTGCTATCACACTCAAAACCAAAAAGTAGTCGTAATTTCATGAGACACAATGGCAAAGAGAAATCATTAATCGATTCTATAGTTTCTTCAGCAGCAACAAGACCTGGTCCCATGTGTAAGTTAGTCGCCGTAAAATAATCACAGGGTTGAGCCTTGTTCTTTTTAGGGAAAGCTTACCGCTTTGAACTTGAGACGCCAACAAATGACCCAGAGCCCGATCGGTTAGGTTTATGCAGGCGGGAAACTTTTCCAGTAAACGGATCCCATAATCCGCACTAATAGTAGCAGGATGTCGAACAATGATTTCGCACAAAAGCGGCGTCACAACGGTACTCAACAATTCACTGTTAAATTGCTTGGGAAGAGAGTCGGTTCCGCCTTCAGAAAGCTCCGCGAGCAGATCATGTATGAGACCGAGGGCTTCCCCAGAAAATTGTCTCATGTACTCTTGCCGGGCAATTTTAAACCGATATGCAACCTTGATATGAGAAAAATTAGTAAACGGCTGTGATAATTTACGTATCGGAATCTGCCAAACTTACCAAGTCCTGAGACCCATTCCCATTGGACAGCCTAGAATCTAGAAGTTGAATCATACTGATGCGAAGCTCTGCCAAATCAGGAATTGTACTTTTATGCACATCGGAATGCAACAGTGCTCTAGCCAGCACATAGAAAGAATGTAATGTTACGCAACCAACGCCGATAAGCGGTGGTAGCATTGTAGATAGATTTGGGCGAGGGGACGACCTCAGCACCGAAATGACCCATTTGATCATGAGGTTGTCGAACAATTTCGCATTGAACGGCCTGAGTTGTGCAAAATATCGCGCTATGTCATGCGCACACTGCTCACCATTTACGCTCCCAGCTTCAAGTCTCTTGCAGAGGCTGTCAAAGATTCGTGCCACGGTTGATTCGTCCATGCTATTCCCGGAAGTTAATAGCTGATCTAGCTCTTCCGTGAATGTGGGGTTGGAGGTATTTAACGTATCGACGATGTGGTCAGAGACCGGAGAGCAGGCTGCCATAGCCAGTTTTCTATCCCGCTGGAGTAGATCCCGGCGGAGCAGAGAAACTGTGGACAGCTCTCCTGGAAGTTTGATGGCAACATCCAAAAGTGAAGCAATTAGATCTTGAACCGATAGTTCTGCCTTGCTGATTCTGGCGTAAGCGCTAGTGAAGCTTTTGAAGAGATCACTGGTAGCGCCGATGGCGTTAAACGAATCCAGATGACAGTTAAGCGTGTCGACAGCTGATGCTAATACGGTAACATTGTCGGACCCGGATGCATATTTCAAGACATCGGCAAGCATGGACAAATCGCAGAGACATTCAAGAATATATCGTACTTCGAAAAACTCTTGAGGAATAAGTGCTGACGTTTTGACCTCACTTCCGAAATCACGATCCATAGCGCTTCTAGGACGTTGTCAGCAGGTGAGAAACTGTGGGAAATATTCTTTTTTAAGGACTTACTTGAGGCTATCTTTGACATGAGAAGCCACCTGATCCCTTATCCAATTCCCAATTTCGGACCTTACCGTCCAGCTTAGCGAAGAAAAATCAACATCATCCGTCATTTCAGCATCCCCTTCAGGCGGGGCCTTAGGAAACATGTTTGGAAGACGCCGTCGGACGGAAGCCTTAATGCGTTGAATGGTATCAACCTCAAGAGCCACTAAAAAACCCGTTCTTGAGAGGAGTGTATTTCGCAAATTCCATATGTGGTTTGGGAGACGACTTGACGGCAGATGTCCGAGGAGTCCAATATCGCCCGGGATATGCTACAAACTTACACATTAGAAAAACAATTTTTGACCGTAGATGAGACAACAATTGGGAAAACTGAAGTACTGTACCATTTGTGGACAACCCAAGACATTGCTGACACTACCACGAGCCATAAGCCACTGCAGGTACTTGGCTACAGAAAAAGATTGCGATCGCACCAGTTCGCAAATAACGTGGTACACGTCAAGAAACCGCACGCCTGACTTCCGGTGATCTTGTACGAGGAAGGAAAGAAGGTGGGAATCTATATCGATTCCAGTCTTTTTCCATCTTCGAAAAACACGCACCGCTGTGTAAATTCGCGCGAGACCATATCGAAAGGAAGTTGATGCCCACTCTATAACCTTGGTGGCTAGAGTGCTATAATCTTGTGATATATTTAAACACTCTGTGCCAATTGTGGAAACATCACTAGAGGAGTCAAGAAGTTGGATTAGGCGCTGATTGGTTGACTGTGTGGGTTTCCGACGACTATTTCCTAACCGACAAACTCGAGCATTTCGGGCCTTGAGGTTCTGAAAACCAGCCTTGTCGTCTGAGAGGTTCATATCTAGACATGATGATAGTACATTTTCGTATTTGTCCCAGCATCGTGGAAGGATGAAACACGAAGGATGAGATAGGGACAACGTCTTGGTAAGGCGAGATAAGCGCCGGGTAAGGGGGTTCAAATGTGCGTGTTGATCGGCCTCAGTAGCCTACAATATATGTCATCAGCGTCTAGGTTTAGGAAGAAGGGGTTGTGGGGGTATAGATAGATAACATACCAGACGCAGTTTCTCCAGCAAGCATTCAGCTAACCGTTTGCCCCTTTTCCGATAACGGACGATATTTTCCCAGTAAATCCCTACCATGAGGAGCCAAACAGGAAGATTCTCGACCGAAGAATTATGAAACGACGTAAGGAACCATTCTAGGAAATGGTCTTGCTCAACCAGGTGTTCGAGGAAGAGCCGCGCCGAGAGTCTTATACTGTAAGAAATCCTCAATCTCCAGTTCGCGTCACCAATACCAGCAATCACACCCTCAACAAATTGCTGTACACTGATCGTCCAGTCTCGTACCCACTTCGCTTCGAGACCGCTTGCAACCCCGGCAGACGTCCCTTTTCTTTTAAATGCGCGCAGTTCGTTGGCACCCACACATTTGGCCAGCCATATAGCTCGGCAAATAGGAATAGATTTCCCAAGGCATTGGTCCAGTAGAACCTTCCCCCTGATTCCGTGAGGTATGGTACGACTAAGCCTACGTAACGGAACAGAGGGGTTTGCCAGATCTCGAAGCCACGCTTCACGTTTGATGTCGGTTAGTGTAACTCGGGGCGGAGGTCTAAAAGTCGAGGCCGCAGTGATTGTGCGAAGAGCCTGACGTTTTTCCAGGGCTGCTGCAAAAACGGATGACAGGAGCTTCAATCCCGACCGGTTCTTGAACTGGGGGTAGACAACTGATTTTGCGCTCGTTGTTTCATTAGACACCGAGGCACGGTCATAGAAGCCTTGTTTGGCGGTTTGCTCCGACAGTACATCCTCAGGATGAGACCCTCTCCAAGGGGAGAAATCCGCAGGTTCTGCAAAACACATTAGCAAATAGAAATAGGAGATTCTGAAAGTCATAGCAAGATAGCAACAAGATACACGTTGTTTTAGATGTGAAGGAACATACTGTTATCTGCGAACCGCGGCGCAATGGACGGAACATCGATACGATACGGTGTTGTCTTCACTGCCCCGCACTCCTTACCGCCTTTCGAGTCCGTCGTCCCAGCGAGATACCGTTCCTGCGGGCCATACTTCCAAGGACGAATAGGCAGCGGGGGTAAAGACGAGGACTGCGGCCATTGGGAAGCCTCAGGTTGGGCCTCAGCATCAGACCTCGGTATCTCCCCCTTGAATGACCATGGCGGGCGGCCAGTCTGCTCTGTCGAAGAGGAGCTCATGAGATCCAAGGGATTCATAGAAGATTCTGGAGTTTCACCTGTCATGGAAGACACATGATGCTGAGAGCTGGGCTGGTCTTGGTTTTGATATTGTTGTTGCTGATGTTGGTTGTGGGTGTGGTCTAAGGAAGATTGGGGGGGCTCATTGCCAACATCCAAGCGCGGTCTTTTAGCAGGGCGTCCGATATCAGCCATGCCGCCGCCATCGGACTCCGTCAAGTCGATGACTTCATTTTGGTGCGCACGGGAATCAATTGCTGGATAGGAATCCGAGGCAGGGTAAGGGACGACGGAGTGTGATGACGACCCTCGACTGGGAGCGGGGGGACGGGATGGCGGCCGGCGGGAGGAAGAATGTGAGATCATTTCCAGAACATGGCGGACATCCCGATGACAGACATCCGAATGATCAAGCCATTTTCATTGTCGAGGGTGGATTGGTGGTGGGGAGAGGATTTGGCGACGGGTCGGGAGGCGGATAGATAGAACAGCAGCGCCGGGAAGTTCAAAATGCTGCTGCGCCCGTAAGCAGGACACACTAATCGTAAGAATATGAAGAAGATTAGAAAGCCAGCGCCAACCTCTAGCTAGATGGAATGATAAAGATCACCCAAATTTCTCTGCGAGGTGGTGGTTGTGGAGGCTGTTGCTGGCGGGTGGAGGTGGTTGGTTGGTTGGGGGTTGGTCGTCGTCGGGCAACGAAGAAATTCGACGACGACGGTTTTGATCCCAAGACGAGCCGGCAGCAAACAAGTCAGGTGAACGCCGACTTTTGAACAACCTTGCAACCAACCTCCCTTCCATATGATTAGATCGGAGAAGAACTACAGCAGACCCTCCGTGGCTAGTGTTGAGGCATCAGAGATATTGTATCACTATCATAATTAATAATAATAATAATAATAATAATAATAATAATAAGTTAATAACAATAGCGGTTGATAATAATTCAGCTTTTGTTCTATAGCGGCCATCGGTATTATCCTCTCCTCGAGTACTCCACCGTACAGTACAGGCAACTGTAGTTAGTAGTTAATGTACAGTACAGTAAAACGCCTCAGCTTTCATCCTAAATATAAAAGTGATGGTTGCATAAATAAGTGATGGTTATCTAGGATTGAGATCAACTTTAGTTCGGTAATTACCTTCAGTCTCACATACTTTTTCACAGCGCTGAAACCATCAACTTCGGCTATGGATTCATGGATCGATCCATCCTTCCTTTAGCCTCGAATCGTTCCATCGGCCGTCACTTTCTGTCACTGCATTTTTATATTTTATACGGAGTATGCTTCAATGAATAATAGTTAGCCGGCTGGCTAAGGTTATTTTTAAGTTACGGGCTCTTCCGCGGTCAAAAAGCGCCAAACAACTTCTGCCAAACCCTCCTTTCCGCCAGCGAAGACGGTCTAACAGTTCTCCTAAATAGCTGGTGAGAAGAGGCGAGAGATATATTGCCCGTTGTCACGGTTGTCTCACTACTAGATCCATCATCAGATGAATCTCGAGCAACATCGGCCGCCCCTTCCGCTCTCTTCCGGATGATTAATTAATTCCTCACCTCACAACAAAAGTCAGAAGCTCTTGTGCCATGCATGTTACATTGCTAATAATATTATTTATATCTTCTGAGCATGGCCTCTCACTGCCAAGATAGGTCCCTCCAATAGGAGGTCGTACTTAATTGAACTTGGGCGTGGATACAGGTACACGCACGACAACCCAACTCTAGAGATCTATGGAGTATTTTCACCTCAGTACGTACTGCACGCACGACCAAAAGAAAAAGGGAAAATATTTATTCCTTAGGTTCTTTCTTTCCATCTACATGTTTGACAAAATATCCTACGCATGGTCGATGGCGAAACACGGGTACAAGTATCGGCTTCCTGGGCGCCTAGATAAGATATGCATTTGACCAGCTCACAGCTGCGAATACACGACATGGCTACATAAGTTAACATACGTCCTGCCCTTGCCTCTTGATGTGTCGATAGGCTCCGCAACGAATCAGTAGCTGGAACACTTCATACATAAACAGCATGGAAACCCTGTTACTCCTGGCGCTCGAGGGGCTTCGTACGTAGTCGTACCACCTCCACCGAAAATCCCGTCATCCCACTCCAATAAAACCGGACTCCCCGCTCCTTGGCAAAAACATGTATTTCTGGCATGTCTGTTTGCCAGCACTCAAAAGTGGCAAAGGATGAAGTGATATCTCCGTTTAGTGTTCGACAACGCAGGGCTTGTACAATGTAATGTACATGTATGCCCAGCGGGGCACACCACACATGCTTGATGGCGTGCAAACTATACCTTCATCACTCCACCTTCCGGAGCCGATTGCCGGCCGCCTGCTAGCAATGCAAAGCCCGTATCAGCCCATGGAAGTAGTATACAACACTGACACTTTCGCAGTACCCCTGCATCACCCCATCTAACGTTCAAGAATCCCAGCTCTCCTAGTGTGAAGGTCCCAGGTGACGGAACATGCCTCGATTCACACAAGGAGAGGGATACAAAGAAAGAAAAGAAAAGAAAGAAAAGAACTATTCCACGCCCTCACCCAGGGCCATTCCAATCACTCGACCATATAAAAGTATCGCACCGCCACTGGTCACCCGCTTTCTTAATGCCCGTGGGGCCCAAAGGCCGCGGGCATATCCAGAAGGATCGGCCGCGGTTAATCCCCGCTTTTTTCGTCACAAGGCTGATGCAAGGTTCATTGTGGCCCTCACATCTCGGTGGGGGCTTTTTCGTGAAGAGTTTTGACCATGACTCCTTGTTTGCAATTGGGTCATGTACCCTACCATTACTATCATAATCTCCATTGTACGATAATGTGTCAGCCGTCTGTAATTGTCGCCGTCCGTTTTCTTCTGGACCACACTGGTCTCCAGATGGACAAGAAAAGCTCGAGTCTGGGGGAAGATTTCTTGTCGTTCCCTTCTGTGGGCTGCTTGCTCCTGCCATGGTTGATGGATTCGAGGAGCCTTTTTCATCATCTCTAGAAACCGCTGTAGTACTAGAGGATTCTTTGGGGACAAAGAAGCCTTTCAAGGTCTTTTGCCCTTTCCTGGTCGCAGTAGCGGTCGATGACTCGCTCCGTTTCAAACGTTTTGGTCGTGATGTGATGCCATCGTCCCCTTTATGAGGCCGCTTAGGAGTGGTGGACGCTGCTGATGGCGTCGATGGTGTAGGAGATGGAGAAGCCATAGTCGGCCCCTCTATGGTAGAAAGGTTGATATCTAAGGAAGTCTTTTCGGCAGAAAGTGTGGTGGTCCCGCTGTTAGGAGCTTTCATGCTACCCTGGCTACCACCCTGTGAACTCTGCCGAAATAACATATCTTTGATACTTCGTCGCTGACAAAATTCAGGAATCAATCTACCTGAAAGTGGAAGAATGTCTGCGGACGAGTATTCCCGCTTCCGCTGGCCGTTTTCGAAGGTACCCTTTGGGTTAAGGATGTCGAGAATGTCGACTTCTGCCCCGTCCAACAACACCTTGCCCTTAAGATCGGCAAAAACGGGACAATGATCGGAACCCTAGTTGCACTGTTAGAATTTCATATTATGTGAATGTCTAGTAACATGGAAGCGAATACCATAAGGCCCTCCTGGATATTGGATGCAGAAAACCAGTCTTCCATCCTTTTATCGCAGAGGACATAATCGATCCGTGAGCCGTAATTACCAGGTCGAGCATTGACTCTTTGTTCCCAGCAAGTATACATGCCCGGCCGATCAGGATGGTATTTTCTGCATAAATCCACAAGGATGGGGGTTTCCCTTCCTTGGTCCCTGTCACCAATAACCTTCCCGCCATAGACCAGCTGATTAAAAACACGACGAACGGGAGCAGATACAAATTCCGAATCGGTCAGGTTACCTTTCCGTATCTCTTCAAGCGCGCGAGCCGAATCGATTTCTGAGCCACATATGTTTAAATCCCCCATCACGATAACGCGCTTCCCCATAGCGACCAGGTTCCGTACTCTGGCATCCAGTATATTTACAAACCCTGTTCGAAAACCATCTCGCGTTTCGTCCCTGTTCGCGGGACAGTAAACACCAATCAAAACAAATGCTGGAAATTCCAGGATCATACAGCGTCCCTCAGAATCAAGCGTGGAAGCATCTACGTCTGAAAGAGCCAGCTGTTCAGCAGTAGGGTAACCACCGATCTGTGCCTCTTCCGGTAAGTCGCGGAATGAAGTGGGAGAAGGAAACGGTGACACTGATGCGGGTAGGCAAAGAATGCCCGTAATCCCTTCTTCAGCCCGAATCGGGCAGCATTTAGAATTCCTGGTATATATTACGACTCCAGAATATCCTGCGCATAGGGTTAGTGATGTATATATATTGATTCAAAAGTGCAGAGTGGACAGAAAGCACAAGCCTTTTTTATACTTGGGAAGGCTGAAAAAACAGTCCCAGCCATTAACGAGAACCATATCATCTTGCAAATCCTTTTTTTGGATTTTTGTCTCTTGGAAGATGACTATGTCCGCATCGAGGGCGTCGAACATCGCCTGTATTTGAAGTATTAGAATTGATGCATATATATATATATATACAAACGACAAGATTTCGAAAGTTATATTTATTTATTGCATACCTCGAAGGACCGCTTCTCTCGCCATGGATGATACGAAAACGGGTTGCTAGAGGGCCTCTAGTTATTCTTTCATCCACCGAAAATGATATCATCCAGACCTTAGCACTAACCGTATCCCATTCACTGCACTCAGAGTGGGTTAGCTCTGCGAGCTGTGGGATGCCTGGGGATAGCTCTAGGATACTTACCGTTCCAGGTAGTCAACCTGACCATCTGCAACACCCCTGTCTGATATCATCAACAATGGTCTTTTGGAAGGATGGTCTCAAGAGCCAACAATTATTATAATATGTACAAACAGTCTAACTATCAAAAACAAGGTCCTATTCATATGAAAGACATATTCACAGTTCTGAGGGAAAGTTGTGTAGGCTTTGAAGGCATGATGAGGCTGATGTACTCGTCCCCGAGAAGATGCCAAGAGTCACGTGTTATAGCGCACTGTCGGGACAAACCCAATCCAACCCGGACGAGATCAACATCCAACGTCACAATTCTTGCTTCGACAACCACAACACAACATTCTTCCCACAACAATCACCCACCATCAATTGGCTGCTTAGTGCACATTGATCGAGTGACTAGACACCATGTTCCCTCGCGCTTCCGCTTTCCGCCTGGCCCAACGAACCGGCGCCCCCGCCATCCGGTCCTCGCCCGTCCGGTCTGGTGTTCTCCAGCGCCGCTTCAACAGTACCGAGCAGAAGGTTCCCACACTCCCCGACAATGCCTTCAACCGTGAAAGAGCTTCTGTGAAGGCCCATGCCGCTGCTACCAGTGGTGAGTTTGCCTGCGTTCCTCCTCAATTAGCCAGTTGGTATCAAAGCAGCAAGATTCTAACCATGACTCGTGTGTCATTTTTCAGACTTGTGGCGGAAACTCTCCATCTAGTACGCGGATTAAACCTCCCCCCCTTTTCGGCACCTTGCTATCCTATAAAATTCCTATCGTTTCCACCTTTACAACTCCAGTCTGGTATCGAATGGATGATTACCAAGGAAAGAAGAGATTACTTGAACAGGAAAACTAATTACCAGACGATATCTAGCGTTGTCGTACCCGTCGTCATCCTTGCCAGCGTCAATGCCTATAACCTATGGAATGAGCATTGGGAGCACTGGGACCACATGCCACCTTTGGAAGAGCGGGTAGAATACCCTTACCAGAACATTCGAAACAAGAATTACCCATGGGGTGATGGTGACAAGGTATGTGTATCTCCCTCTCGATTCTTCCTAAGATGATTTATACTTTTGAATGCACCACATCGGCTAACTCATCTTGCGAAACTATAGACCTTGTTGTAAGTGTTCTCTATCTGCAAAGTTCCCCGCAATTCTCGATCTTCTGTTTTGATTAGACAGGAGACGGGGGAAGGTCATGATCTCAAGAATCTCCATCAGATCGATATATTCCCCCTGCACTTGCATGAGCGACTTTTCGCTGACCAGGATACGTTCACAGCTGGAACTCTTCCGTAAACTACCACAACCAAGACAAGGTCCAATAAGCGGCAACATCCCACCCGTCCCTTTCGACGTTATCCCATGCGAGTAGATATGGGGATAAAGTTTGAATAATCGAGGTAGAGAAGGAGAAAAGGAAAGGAAAATCGAAAAACATGTATTTAGTACACAACAACATCTTTTATCATCCCGGCCGTCTCCCTTTTCGCACCATGTTTTCCTGAATTTAGTGACTGGGCTTTCCCCACCATTACCCACTCCCATCATTGTAAATAAAAATTTCTTTTGTTTAATTGGTTGTTATGGTGATTTAGAGTATGAAATACTGTCCCTATTTTCATGCATATATGAACTTCTCATGTGCTGTGTATTTTTGCGGTAAATCAAACAAATGATCCCACTCCGGACATTGGCAGCACACACGTCCGAGCATGGAGCAGCTGCCGCCTTCCCCTTTATGGACTAGCCCGCCAAGCTCCAGAAACGGTGCGACTCGACTGCGATCTCTCCAATATTGGGACGGAGTTGACCACGACGCCGTTGCTACTGCGCGCTGCTCTATCTTCTCGTGCCGTGATGCCAGTAGCCATTATTCCTTTTCCCAACGTAGTAAACGAGCGTTAGTACACGTCGCGAATCTCCGTTCAAGCCACATTGCCCGAACCCCACGCGCGAACATGGCCACCAAGAAGGATATGCGGAGACCGGAGCTCGGTTGATCTCTCCATCTCCATCTCGCCGAACTATGTCGAATTGGTAGATATTTATATATACTAACTTATCCTATTAGCTGTTCCATATGTCGAACCGCCTGCGAAAGCGTCAGATGCTTCTGATATAAGCAGTATGTCATGCCAGTTGATAATACATCCATTAGATTGCCATTCGTTCTTGCGATCCTAAACTTTGATTGATAAAGGCACGATGTCGAACACGATGCCCATGGCTGCTGTATGTCATATTAGGCCCCTAATATATTCTAATCATATGCTAAATTCTTGAACCATTGCTAACAAACCAACTTGCGATATCAGATGTTTTCGAGAAATAAGTACGCTTCAATGACCGCACCCTCCTCCTACCTACCCCCTGCTCTCTGCGCCGCCGTCTCCCCAATTAATATCTCCGGTACACCTTTTGCTAACGAAAAGCTCACTGCGCGCATTAGGATGATTGCCTGGTATGCTTCTGCGAGCCCGTGATATCGATGACATGGGAGTCGCAGCCCGCTAATTATCAAACGAACCTATCCGTCCAACTCCAAACAGGGCTGCCGTCACCTTCTCTCTGCAAAACTGGATGGCGGAAACCCCGGAGCAGCAGAAGAAGTCCGCAACACCAGCATACATGGGTGTGATTATGGCTTGTAAGCATTGTCGCTCGCTGTTGCAACCTCCCTGTGAGGTTCCGTTTTCTCGACTATGATGATCTCCTAAACTAATACATTTGACAACCCTGCTATTTTATAGTCCTCTCTGTCATTGTCGTATGTTTCGCCTCCGTCTACTTTATTCCCATTTGCCCCTCGCATCCGAATCTCTCGAATCGAGGGGATCAGCTTTAATATACGCCCCCCAAATACGTGAAGAGTGGTTTGCTAACAAGATTAACAAACAGACGTACATGCCCATGTTTCTCCCTACCCCCGGCAATCCTGCACCAAAAGCAGCAGCTCCCCCTCCGATGCCATCCTCTTAATCCTCTACCATTACCCATTCTGCTCTTGCAAAAGAGGTGTATTATCACTCCCGTTTTATATTTCCCAGTTAGCTGCAAATATTTATTATGAAGAATATACGCATGCAAGTTTCTGTATCCATAACTACGGTCAGATGCCAAATCTTAGAAAAGTGCTTTTGGAGAAAAAATATAAAAACTGAACTTGATCAGACTGTACCTTACTACTATTTTTGCCCCTTCATTAACACCTACCTTATGCTATTTTCAAAGACTACCCATTTCCCACCATCAGTGATCCTCCTAAATCCATCCATCAAAATATGCCCTAGCCAGTCAACCACAGCGTGAATATTAAAAGTACAACACAAGCAAAAGGCTAACAAGATCATAAAAGTACCGACCATAACACTCCATATATATTCACAGGTCTCCCGTCCAACCAACCAGCCCCCTTTAGGCCCCAGCCCCTGACTTGTTGCCCGTGAATACCACAACACTTAACAAAGCCCCTCTCCTCTCCTCTCCTCTCCTCTCCTCCCCGCCCCCGCCCCCGCCCCCATGGCACTCATAATCCCGACTCATGTGTTACTCACTTCAACCCCCCCAGCCTCTTGTCGTCCCAGCCCCCTTAGTTCTGCACCAGTCAAACTGGGCCCATTCTATAGTGTATTGAATAATTCGCAGTTAATGTTAACTAGGCTGCGGGGTAGGATGGATGCCTAGCCGCCCTCGAATCATGATATCCAGAAGCGGGGAAGACAAGAAGAGGGTGAAGAAGGGCTTTGGGGTGCTGGGGCTGGGTGGAGGCGGGTCTTTGCTGTAGCGATGCTGGGATTTTATGTTTTTTGAAAGGAGTTTGTTCATTTTCGTTGCTAGGGGGTTAGCTGTGTAGGGTTATGATATTTTATCTGCATAGTAACGGGTGATTCTAGAATCTGAATTTCCGTGACGGAGATTTCCAAAAGTTCAATGAATGTTCCAAGACGTCATCCATAACATTCATTTTTGATATCCCCAAACATAGCTCTTCTCACGAACCTCTGAACCAGGAAACTCACGCAGACATCTACCCCTGAGATCCCAGCTATTCCGCATCTTGCCATGTCTCTTGTTTAGATACTGCAAGCCAATCGACGGAAACAATGACAATGTCTAACAATTCATCCCTGCCCTGGGCAGACTGCGATACAGGCTTCCTCGACAGTATGATATAATAGCCCTGTCATGCATTGGGGGTCCTGTTCAATTGGTGCTATTGCTACTATTGCTAATCCATATTCCATTCCCAGGCGACGGCATAGCCATCCGCAAATGCAGCACAGAATTCCTCAGCACATTGTGCACGGCATACATGGACTGTATCGCAGACGACAAGATTCACGTCCAGGACAGCAGCGCGAACCAGCTATTCGAGCGCGTGATGGACGAGCTTCGACGACTGTCATCATCCCCAACCCTCTTCCCATCAACAGAGACACAGACCCGCTTCTGGTCTCTCCTAACCCACGCAATTGATACCCAGGTCACCGCCGCGCAGTCGAAAATAGATGAAGAGATGAGAGCCGATTTCCTCATGCGGGCCAATCTGCTTGCGAGGGAGGAAGATAGATTGTTACAATCCCTCAATCGCCCAACGTTTGCGGCTCCCCTATCACTTCCATTGGACATGATTTCTAAAATTAGCCCTATCAGTGTGCCGAACTCCCTTCCTCTGGACTCGAGTATGAACATACATGGGTAAGATATCCACTCTATCTAAGCCCAATATGTTGAAAAATTGAGGGAATAGTAAAGTTTCCGCTAACCAACCTTCCCCACACAATCAAACCTATAGATCGCTCTAGCTCCCAACATATACTTCGATGTAAGTATCCGCCCGTCCTACTTGCATTCCCGTCCGGCCCTCAGCGTTTTTACACACACATATGGAGAAGGAAAGTTCAGTCGTTCGAAAAACAAAACCAAAAAGGTACGGACAACTTATTTACTTTTCTATTTGTTTGTTTGGCAGAAATATAGCGCGTTATCCAGGGAGGCCAACGTTACTGATCGCTTGGAGAATTTGAGCTCATGGACTAGCAGGGCGCGTGCTGGGATTAAAGCGACGTATTATCATTCTCGGAATCAAGTTGTTGGCTTCCAAGTTGTCCTATACATGTGAACTATCTAAACGCATGCACATCCCATGGAACAATGGAAATGGAACTAGGTTTAAATATATTTGTCTTCCAAGTAGGCATAAGTAAACAAACACTTTACTCATCAGACCAGATATTGCCCAACAAGGCTCTTCTGAAAAATCTACATTTTACTTCTTTGCTTCCTTTATTTTTCTAATTTTTTTGGGGCGTGCTTGGCCGGTCTCAATTCTTTAATTTGACCCAGTGTTGGCACCGTCAGCTGAGATATAGTAGTCTAGTTTGGAATTTTGACGCTGCATTAGGCTTTTGACATAACGCTTCGAGTGTAATTTCAGTGAATATTTATATACACATTTTCTGATACGTGCTTCAGCCAGATCTGACCTCAGAGATCAGGGAAAAAGCTTCCAGCTATGAGGGATTAAACAGCAGACTATAATGCATTGCCCGCCACTCCAAACCATGTTTGTACGAGATCTGGGCTACCGTTTGGCTTTCTCGTGGGAAGTTCAAGATGTTAAGTTGAACGCGACATGGACTTCAGACCCCCGATGAAACACAAGCCACACACTCGTCCTGAAATTAACATACATATTGGGAGAACCATCCACCAGTCGTTGATAGGGCAATTTATTAACGGCTTTTTGAAATGCATGCTATTGAGATGCTGGCGGAGCCTGTCTATCGATCAAGAATTTGTATTAGAACTAAATTAAATATTAGGAGCTGAATGAGAAAGAAATGAAGGTTTATTTACACTGAAAGAAGAACAGTCTGTTAATATCATTTTAACACTGTCTTCAAATAAGGGGCTGGAGGGGTGCCCAACCCAGTAAGACCATCGAACGGAAATGTAGGCAGAAAATCGGGTATCACTGTCCAAGGCCGGCAAAGTAGTTGTCAAATTCGAAATCTAAATTGGACCAATGGCCCGCTAAGCCCGTCGTACTGGTAGCATGGGCCTGGGTGTGTTGGGGAGTAGTGACTGTTGTGCCTAGGCGTCGAATTTGAAAATTCATGAATCCAGCGTCTTCGAAACCCATAACGTAATTGGTGCTGTGATTCATCGTCATATTCGTAAATCCTCGACCAGGGGAGAGCGGAACAATGAGGTCGAAGTTACGCTCGTCATTGACTATGTTATTCTCATCACTTGCAGGTGAAAGAGAATTTACATATGTACCATCCGATTGAGACATTGGAGTTCCAGCTTCTCCAGCACCAAACTGGGCCGAGCTGACAATCTGCGTATCATTCAACGCCAAGTGGTGAGCGTCACGGCGGGACGTCGACCGACGCTTTTTCTCGGATGGCTTACGGGGAGCGTATTGATAGTCAGGATGATCCTTGGCATGCTGGACCTTGATTTCATCCGCAAGCGACTTGAAATGGGCTTTGGTCTCAGCAGACTCGGCTTTCCACCTCTTCCCAAGAAGAACTGCTACAGAACTTGTTAGAGAGATCATTAAAAAAGGGAATGTGAAACCAACATATTTCGTTGTTATGAAAACCTGGGTGAGATGCTTTGACGAGTGGATGGTGATGCTGACGATACAAAATGAATGCATTTGGTGGCCGCGGGATTTTTTCAGGCTTTCCTTGAGCAGCCTTGTTGGCTTTGGGAGATGGGCTTGCGTTTTGGTCGCTGTTCGTTGCGATCATCGGCATGACTTGAGCAACGGCAGAATCTACAGCCCCATCCAACACTGGCGTAGGCATAATGCGATAAACACTGTTGACATCATCTTTGAATGCAACGACGGGCGTGCTGAGCAGTGCGCTTGAGGTTATATTAGCTTTTAGAAATTTCTCAAAGAAGTAGATAAACACACCTCAGGCGATCTTTAATCTTCTCAACATTGTCTTGGCCGATTACGGTGTTGATATCAGCGGGAAGGAGAATCTCGTTCTTAGTATGTTTGAGATGGGCCATAGCATGTTGCCAAATAAGCTCGATAACTAAGTCCAGAGACCTTGACATCGGCTCCATGACGGAGGCTGTAGCCGTAGCCATTTGAATCTGTAATTGGAAACTTTTGCTTGATCGCCGCAGAGGCAGGAAGATACAAGCCGTGGAACAGGGGGATATTCAGGGTATCATTAATTAGGTGGATAATATAACGGTGGATATTCGGTGGTGGAACAATGGCAATAGTGCAGGGACTCATCGAAAGTAGTTTTCATAATAGAAGAGGAAAGGGAGAAGACAAAGGAGAAAAGGAGGGAGAAAGGCTGGGAGACAAAAAGGAAGAAGAGACAAAAGTAGAGCAGAGCTCACCAAGGAGAGATAGGCGGTTGTGTTCTTTGTTTACAACAGAAAGTGAATGCGAGGTGATGAATTTCGGAGGCTAGCGACCCCTCAAGTACGGAGTAGTTAAATATTTAATTCACCTTGCCGCCCAGGTGGTTCAAACCATTTCAGTGACTGGGAGTTGTAAAGGAGTGAGAATAAACAAGAGAGCCAGAAAAATGATTTCATTATTACTTTTAAATCGACTTCTAACTACATGTTAAACGCCCGTTCTAAAGCTGCTATTTTAAACCCTAGTCTCCCTTTTGAATCGAGCGGATCAGCGCCGAATATGGATCAAGTACATTTCCTTGAGTCTGCAAACGTCGCGACCGTTTTTGACAACGCACTGCCGCATACTCTGGGAGAGCTATCAGCCACAGCGAAAGATGTACTCAAAAGGCAAGCGGGAGTGCTCCTGGCTTCACACAAGTCTTGTCCCCAAGACAAGTTCCGCGGTAGCGTCAAATTATTCCTTGAGGGAGGGATTTTTACAGAGGAGAGTGCTCTGCGTATTACCCCAAGGACTCAAAATAGACACGCAAAAAGCGCTACCAAAGGCCGTCTCAATGACGTTCAACGCTTGATGCAACTTTACAACGTCCACCCGAAGATTGAAGACTACTCCAATGAACCTATTTCTCTCATAGACAAGATTAAAATTCCTGGTCCCGAATACATCCCGGACGCTCTTAGAGAGTTGGTTGAAAGAAAGATTTTACTCAAAGAAGAAGAGGCGACCCATATGGCAAACGAATTCTCGGAGAAATATGGATCTGAGTCTCTATTCCGATCTGCATTTCGGGAATTTTTCTCAACGTGAGCGAGCTCTTCACGAGACGAGTGCAGGTTACCAAATCACTAACAATGGAACAGTGGACTTATCGGAGTCCAACAGACGTTTTGGAGGCCCGATCCTCGCAGTCAGCGAATTCGTCGACAAGCAGAGGAGATCTGCCTCCAGGCAATCGATGAAAGTCTCTGGCTTAACGGGGCCGAAATTCTCTTTGTGATCCGTGCCACGAGATGCTTTCCGGAAGACGCCATGTCATTTTGTGAGTTGCACTATATTAACGAGAGCCAGAACATTGCTAACACAGCTGGTCTTTTCTAGGGCGTTGGGTATCAGCTAATAGGTTAACCTATCTGGCGGTAATGGATATGATTGAACTACAGGGAGGGTTTCTTGACGATCCTGAGACTGTTCAATCTCAGTGGTGGGGTGTCCCCGTGCTTATCTTTAGGTACTTCCTAAGGCTGACTTCGAATTTTGAAGAATATTGGACCAGTCAAGTGGATGTCGCCTAACCGCCTAATTTCTACATATAATTCCGACTTTGAATACAGCAATGGGCGTTCATACATCGCGCATCCTACATATTTAATAACGACAATTAACTCGCTGTTAACATTTAAATATGAACAAGAAATTCGCGAAACAAATCAGCGAGCCAAACGAGTAATCTCCCAGCACGCAGCTTTTAGTAGTTCTGCTTAAAAATTGGGAGCCAAGTCCATGTGAAGAAACCAACAGTTGGGAGCATATGCAATGTGCGGCGCGTAAACTGATGGGCCGGCAGGGACCGGCAGGTGGTGGCTCAGCACAGTGATTAGGGTCGTCGAGCCTGCAGACGCAGACGCAGGATGTGTGGTTGGGATAAAGTTGACAGGGGGTCCGTGGGCTTTGTAAAAGCGGGGCAGCCACTTTCCACCATCGTCTGCTGCCGCCAAGATTCGATCCTGCATCGGTTCTAAAAGTTACAACGATGTTGCGTTGGTCCAGATTTCTATTTCTTTGTTCTGAGCTTAGTAGAATTAATTTGACTTCCACTCTCACAACCACAACTGTACCCTATACCTTAAAATCTTGCAAACAAAGAACGAACCCACAGGAAAGAAAACGAGGTAAACCGTCTCAAGTGACTACTTTGGTGGCTGCAGGAAAACCACCCGGCACCTTATGAGGCGAAATAAATTACCCACGACCAACTAGCCAAACCAGTAACTTGGGAGCCCACCACGCCCAGCCTCGACCAGGTCTCCGGGATTAAGAAGTGAAATTAAATATCGGCCCTCTGATGGACATAGCTAAATTAGGCTTAGGACGCAACCTTGGAATGATATTTGGCCGAACAATGAACAGAATGTAATTTGCGGAGCGAAGCGAAGCAATATGTTAGATGCTTTCAAAACCTGATTAGAATAGAAGGTGCGATCTTGTAGGCCCCATTCTGTGATATGATTGGTTGAAAAAATGCACACCCCACGTGACCGCCCGTAGAGGAAGCCGCAATGGCCTGTATAGATAGTCACCACTCATTAAGCAGGCAATTACAGCTTCAATTGCTGCAATTGCTGCTGCTGCAATACAATAAACACTCTTTATAGAAATGTAATATAATCTATCTCTGCAAAGATTTAGTTCTTTGTTTATAATTCACACTAATTCTATAAATCTTCTGTTTTCTTCTTTATAAACATAGCTATAGATTTATACAGTTCTTACAATTAGACTGGCCGCCGGGACCATGAATTTCACATTTGGTCTCATTTGGTCTGGTCTCATACATTTCTTGATGTGAATCCCGCTGGGACTAATCATTAAATAAACATGCAAAGTGACTATATATCAGATCTCAAAATGAAATCATGACTTGAAAAAAATGAGAAAGTGATCTCATTTTGTAGCGTACGCCGCTACGTAGGGTCAGATATAAGGGTAAAAACTTGTCTTATTCTCTTAAAGATGGGAGATGGGCGTACGCCCTTATATATACAGTGATTGTTCTATAGAGATTAGCTCTTGTAGAAGGGGTGATTGTCTATGAAGAGAAGAACAGAGGCTCTGTAGAGAAGAAGCAGACACTCTCATAGAAGAAGTGATTGTATATGAAGAAAAGAATGAAGACTCTGTAGAGAAGAAGTGAAAGCTCTCATAGAAGAAGTGATCACATATGAAGAGAAGAATAGAGAGAGAAGATAGAAGTGAAAGCTTCAGAAAACAGCAAGAAATGAAGCAGAAGCTAGAGCTGAATAGGGAATTGACTTAGATAGAGAGCAGAAGCATGCCACAGTCTCTCTATCTGAAAGGATGCATTCGCGGAGAAGAAAAAAATGATGTTGAAAAAAGATGACAGGTATCACAGGCACTAGGCTCAAAGAGGTGAATATTATTCAGAAGTGCTAGTCTGTTTACATATACTGCAGATATCATAGAAAAGAGAAGACTGAGTGATAGAATCACTTATTCATACAAAGAGTGATCAGATGTAAGAATTGTTTATCTCTACAAAGAATAAAAGATGTAAGAATAACTTGAAAAGAAATGATAAGAAAGAGACAGAAGTTCTTTAATCTAAAAACAGCTGTAAGAAAAGAAAGAGATTGTAAAGAAATTATAAGAAGCTTGAATGAGAAAGAGTTCTTTAATAAGATAGATGAGAGTGAAAGTTTCATTGTGATGAGAGAAAGATTCTGTGAGTGATAGAGATTGATGTAGATGAATAATTACATTAATATATATATTATAATCACTTTCTTCTTATTCTTCTCTTATTTCTCACACATCTCACTAAAATTTAATATAGTGAAATTAGTGAAAATCATGACATATAAAAGATTAGACTATAGAAATGATGAGTCTCAAGAAGAAGTTAACAGCTGTGAAGACAGATGCAGTAAGCATGATGAAAAAGATCTTGATCTTAGAGAAATTATTTCAGTTATTAAGTCAGAAGAAGTGTGATGCTCTTCTTCATATAAGTGATAGAGAAGAGAAGATAAGTGAGGAGACTGATGAAGAGAGAACAGATAAGAATGAGATGAAAGAAAATAATAAAGATAAAGAATTAGAATTCTGAACAGATAAGCTTTTAATACTATCAACTTATCTTTTCATGTACAAAGTGATCAAAGACTAAGATAAAGAAAAGACAGTGATGTCTTATTATCACTCAGTTAGGCTGTATGATGCTGCTGTAGAAGAGTCAACAGATGAATTATATAATAGAAGCTCAAAGAGTTAAGAAGAATCTAAGACTGTGATGCAAAAGCTTATAACACTGTTTACTTATTTGAAAAAGTTATAACTGTTCACACACCAGTTTTCAGAAGAAGATGTTGAGATAAATGAGAGAAAAGAGAGTCAGAAGACTGCTGTGAAAGCAGTCAGTGATGAAGAACTGTAAGTAGAACTGAAAGTAGAAGCTGAATAAACAAATACAGATACTGAAGAACTGTTACTGATAAAAGAGAATAAGAAGTACTGAAGAGCTAGTCAGAAGTAATATAGAACTCTGAGTGATAATATTTTAGAAAAGTTGAGATAAAAGAAGAACATTGAGAGTGATCAGATGCCTTGACTGTATAGTATAGTATATATGAGATATCTGTATTATAATGACAAGACTGACTTATACTTCTGACAGAATGACAAGCTCACTCATCTGAGTGTGTTAATCATGTGAGACCTGACTGTGAAGAGGCTTGCAGATGCCATCTCAATCATTGAAAGACTCACAGAATGTAGTGAGAAGATATCATTTATTAATCATGAATTTTTCATTTTACTCAGTCAGTGATTGATTAAAGATTTGAGACAGTTATCTGTCAAGTGAAAGTTACACTGATGAATAAATAATAATAAGCTAATCACTTCACAGACTATTAATTTTAAGAATTTCACTAATCAGAATATTATTATTCTGCAGACTCATGAGAAAATAGCTTCTGTGTTATATCAGTGTTGTGTGAAGAGTCAGAAGTGATTTGAGAAATATGTGATTATCTCTATAGATGATAAACAGACACAGTAAGAACATGACACTTATATCAACTGTTAGTGAGAAAATAAGAGATTTCACTGCTCTTTAAATTACTATAGTCAGTATGAACTCAGATGAAATGTGAATAACTTGCTGTTTAAAGAGAGTGTATCTGAATTTAAAAAGACTACAGCTGAGAAGATGAATGTTGATGACATCATTGAGATCAGTGATACAGAGAAGAAGAATGATTTAACTATAATTTCAATGAAGAGAATGTCTATATCTTTCAAATACAAGGTATTAAGTTCAATTGCACTGAAACTCTTGAAACATGTTTGAATCAGTGAGCAGAGTATCTTGACATCTGTGAAGATGAACAGTGAGATGAAGACAAGTTATTCAATCTCTGCTAAGATGATTAATAAGACTAAGATGAGTGATGTATGATGATTATTAATTCTGTCTTCTGAAGATCACACAGTTGATTATAGAGCTCAAGATCTGAAGATGCTGAGACAGCTGCCTAATCTTGATAAGTATAATCTGAATGCTGTTCAGACTGTGTGAAAGAAACTGAATAAAATAGCTGAGTTTATCAATGTGGTTTCAGCTGTAGAGAATATTATGACTAATAATTATTTCTTTAAGTTGCTCAGTGAGATGTGTTTCAGTGATTTTGTGAATAAGAAGTTATTAACAGATGTTGCATTTTGAGATGCATGTCTTACTGAGCAGAAGATCAAGCTGTAGAAAGAGCTTGAAGATGATTGATAAGAAGAGACAGAGTGAAATGATGAAAAGAGTGAAAGATGATAATTTTCTTATTTTCTTTATTTTCTTATTCAATAGCTAAAATTAGATTGTAATATATTTTCTTTCTTTCTTTCACTCTGTTTCTATTTTACTTTTCTTTCTATTGTTTACTCAGCTGACTGTGAGGCTTCTTAGTCATGAAGGCCTTAACCAGGTGTGAGATGTCTTATGCAATGACTTCAAGAAGCTCTCAGATCAGGTCTTCATATCTCTTTCACTTAATCTGAAGATAAGTCTTGCCATTCTCTGTGTACTTTCTTATGATGTTTTCAACTTCAAATTGCAACTGATCATTAACAAGTACTGATTCTGATGATAAGTGCTTCATATCTGCTTCTGTTAATATAATCTTTTTCAGATGAATAATAAAGATTACTGAGTGTATTCATCAACTGACTGACAGTTTCAATTGAAATACAGCATCTGATACTTTCTGAAGAATGTGAAATGAGCCTATCTATAAGAGTGATAGCTTGAATGTTTCTTTTAATGTATAGTTCTTTTGAGCTTTTTAAGTGAGATTCAAGAAGACTCAATCATCAATCTGAATAGTTGATTGAGAATGAGATCAGTCAAAGAACTCAGTCATTCTAGCTTTTATCAGAGTGTATAAGTCAAGAATGTCTTGCTGCACTGTATCTCACACAGTGATGAACTCAGCTACATCTAGTAAAACTTTCTCATTATTCAATGACAGTTATCTAGACTTTACATCTGTGAGTAATTTGAAGAGAGAGATCATTGCTGACTGTGCAGCTACTGAGTTCAACACTCTTTTCACTTATTCAAGCAGAGCAGTTCAATTTACTTCATATTCATCTATAAGAAGTGTTTGCAATGTGACTTCAACTGTGAGATTGATTCACTCACTTTGACTGTTTAAGTGAGAGTTATAGACAGTTGTCATTCATGTCTTAATTTCTATAAGTTGAAGAACTGACTTTCAAAATTACAATGTAAATTTGAGATCTCTATCTGAAATAATTACTAGTGAGAGCTGTCAGTGACAGATCATCTTCTTATAGAAGTCTTCTGCTCATTATGAAGTATTTCATTATTTCTGTTCTACAATTAGAATTACTGCTTTTGAAAATTTGTCTATGACTGTCAATATAGTGTTGTGATTGTCACTCACAGGTAATTCTGTAATAAAATCAATTAAAAGAACTTCAAATGACTGTTTTAAAAGTGAGATGAGATGTAATTTGCCCTCTGATGAGTGATTCAGCAGTTTGACTAGTTGATAATTGAGATATTATAATAGATGATTCAGAATTCTCTTTCAGGTATGAGAAAGAAAGAAGAACTGATGAATAAGATTTTCTGTTTAATGAAGGTCAGAGTGATCTGCTGTGTTATGATATATACAGATAATATCTCACATCAGCAATTTGAGAATACAGAGATATAATTCTTTGAAGAACAATAGCTTGTTCTGCACTGTAAATGACTGATATTATTCTTTCTGACTGATCTTGTGAAAAATCTTTCTCAATGCTGAGTTGTGAGAAATATCTCAGTGTAGTTACTTTTTAAATTTGTCAGTGAGCTCTATCACTGTAGTTGAAACTATACATATCTTCACTGAAG